GCGCAGGCGCGGGGGGGTCTACCTGAGAGACACCTGAAGGAGCAGGACCTGGCGCGGGGCGGGGTCGTAAAACTGCCAGCCAGGTGCGCCAGGGACAAAGCCAAGGAAGACGCAAGGAATGGCGCGAGGGAAGAGCTTGTCCGCGGTGGTATCGCGGACAAAGGCACGAGCACCCCAGACCCGGAAACGCGACGTGTCGCCAACCTTCCCCGTCCACAGCAGTGTGGGCGAGGTCTCCGGCAAGGAGACACGAGGCCAAAGGTTGAGCTGATGCGCGGCGTACCGGACCGCAAACGGCCACAGAAAATGGGGGGCAGCCGCATGGATCATGGAGGTACGAGCGACCTCCATGACTAAGCCAATGCGGCGCTCAGCAACCCCATTCTGCTGCGGAGAGGCCGGAAGCGTGAAAGCCTGGCGGATGCCGTGCTCCGCACAGAAGGCTGCCAAGAGGTACGAGGAGAACTCACCACCTCTGTCAGAGTGCAGACGCAGGACAGGAAAGTCCGACTGGAACCGCTCGCGGAGCTGGAGACGAGTAGCGCGGATCCAGGGGATCAAAACACCAGGGACATCCGCCTTGTGCTGCAAGGGGAAGACCGTGGTGTAGCGCGTGTAGTCGTCGACAACCAGCAGGAAGTACCGCTTGTGGCCCTGTCCACGGACGCGGGCTGGGCCCCACACGTCCAGGTGGAGAGTCTGCAGTGGAGCCTCTGTGGGAGGGAACGAGGAGGAGTGAGGAGCGGCGCGCTGCCGCCCCTCGACGCAGGGAATGCAGGGCGGCGCAGGCGAGGGAGGGAGGGGAGGCAGAGACCTGGGAAGACCAGAAACCAGGAAGCGGGAGTGCATGCTGCGTAGGCGAGGCAGGGAGGGGTGACCAAGGCGGTGGTGCCACAGGAGAGTGTCGTGCGACAGCCGGCGACACTCACACTGTGTAGCTACCTGAGCAGACGCATGCAACTGGGGAGAGAAAGGGGTGGAGCGTGACGCAGTGGTGAGGGTGTAGAGACTGGACCCTGGCGCACGAGCGAACGTGGCCAGGTGGCGACCAGTCTGGGAGCACGTGCAAATCGCCACACGCTGCCGGCCAGGGGTGAAGGTGTCAACCCCCGCATCCTGGAGGACAGCGTTACTCACCAAGTTCGTAGAGAACGAGGGGAGGTGGAGACCAGACAGCTCACCAGACGGGACCGCCGGACACGGAAGCACAGTGGAAGACCGTGCAAGCACTGGGCCCCCAGAGGGGTCAGCCAGTGAGACAGGAACAGGTGCAGGGAGGGGAGTGACTGTGGTACTGTCGCGAAAGAAACAGCGGGAAGCACCAGAGTCAAGTGTAAAGGTGTGCAAAGCCTGTGCAGGCGCAGTACCAAGGGGAGCAGACTCACAAGCACCTAGTGCTGCAGGGGCTATACCAGGATCCGGCGGCACACACAAGTAGCAGTCACCCTCAGCACTAACAGACAAGGCATACATAGCAGCAAGAATTGCCTCATAGTCAAGATCAAAGATAGGTACATCACGCCTAAGTGAGTCTGCCCAGTTGGGGAACTCAGGAGCATCAGGAAACTTGGCGCGCCAGGCGTCGCTAAGCCAAGCGAAGCAGCGCTGCTCAGTGCGAAAACCTGTGCACTGGCGACCAGCGCGGGGACCTGTGCGGATGATATAGGGGCAGCGACCAGGACCCCCAGAAGCCTCACGCCCGGCATACCAGTCAAGAAGTTGCTGGGAAGTGGGGGTCTGGCGCTGACGCTGATGCTGCTGCTGCTGCTGCTGCTGGCCCTGACCACCAATGCCACTACCGCTCCCTCCTCCCCCACCGCCGCTGCTGCCCCCTCCACCGCTCCCAGTGCCTCCGCCGCCCCCACCACCACCTCCACCGCCTCCACCCCCACGACCACCCCCACCACCTCCACCTCCCCCGCCGCCTGCACCACCGCCACCTCCACCGCCACCCCCACCGCCCCTGCCACCCCTGCCGCCCCTGCCGCTGCGACGCTTCCCACTAGGAGCGGAAGCAGCTCCGACCCCCTCAGCACCAAGGTAGTCGTGAGCAGCAGCTGCGGAGGCGTAGGAGGGGGTGAGAGGGGAGGGGGAGCACCCCTCAAAGAGGGGAGAGCGAGGAGTGCCACGAGCAGCACCTACAGCGAGGATGTTCTTCTCTGCTGCGAGGAGGTGCTTCTCGAAGTCTTCGACAGTGAGAGTGGTGGGGTCTAGCGCTAGGAAGTGGTCCCTGACAGAGCTAAGAGTGTCAGGGAGGCGGGTGACGAGGAAATAGAGAGTGAAGTACATCGGGGGGGGGGGTTTGCGGCGCAGAACTCGGCTGAAAGGGCGGCACGAAAGCGAGAGTCAGTAGCGCGTAGGTGAGAAACTAGGTCCTCAGCAGTGGTGAACGAGGAAAGATCGGGGAACAGGTACGGTAGCATGAGTCGACCTATGGCTGCAGTGGCCGGGGAGGAGTAGCGCGCAACTACTGCGTCGTACAGTGTCTTAGCAGTTCTGTGCTGGCTGAAATGCGCTCGCTCAGTAATCGGCAGGTGGTTCCTAATAGCTAGGCGTGCAGCAGCATCACGAGTCTGCCACTGGGAGTGTTCTAGAGCAGGAGCATCAGCAGCAGGAGTAACGGCAGTGCCAGAGACGTAATGAAACAGGGAAACGCCCTCTTTGGCATCAGTCAGAAGGAACAGCTGGAGATCGTCTAACCACACAGTGAACTCGATGGGACGACCGTCAGGCTCGAACGCTAGAACGTTAGGCGTCGCCATATTGACTTAAGGCAGGAGGCAGGAGGCAGCAGGCAGCAGGCAGAGGCAGCAGGCACCAGGTAGGAGGCAGCAGGCAGCAGGCAGGCAGTAGGCAGGCGGCAGGCAGGCGGCAGCAGGCAGCAAGCAGGCAGGCGGCAGTAGGCAGCAAGCAGCAGGCAGGCAGCAGGCAGGCAGCAGGCAGGCTGCAGGCAGGCTGCAGGCAGGCGGCAGCAGGCAGCAAGTAGCAGGCAGGCAGTAGGCAGGCAGTAGGCAGGCTGCAGGCAGGCGGCAGCAGGCAGCAAGCAGGCAGGCAGGTAGGCGACAGGCAGGTGGCAGCAGGCAGCTAGCAGGCAGCAAGCAGGCAGGTAGGCAGGCGACAGGCAGGCGGCAGCAGGCAGCTAGCAGGCAGGCGGTAGTAGGCAGGCAGGCAGCAGGCAGGCTGCAGGCAGGCAGCAGGCAGGCTGCAGGCAAGCGGCAGCAGGCAGCAAGCATGCAGGCAGGCAGGCAGCAGGTAGGCAGCAGGCAGGAGCGGCCTGAGGGCTGCGTGAGGCTGCTGGCTGCGTGTGGCGGCTTGCTGCACGAGGCTGCAGGTTGCACGTGGCTACGGGCAGCGCGCGCAGCTGCGGGCTGCTCGTGGCGACGCGCGGGCTGGCGGCAGGCTGCGTGGGCGGCTGGCGCGGCGCGTGGGGCCTAAAACGGGCTACACGGGCGGCGGACGCGGCGCGCAGGGCCTAAGTGGGTTGCGCACGGGCGGTTTATACGGCGCGCGGGCCGGCGGCAGGCTGCGCGGGTGGCTGACGTGGCGCGCGGGGCCGAAAACGGGCTGCGCGCGGGCTGCTTAAGTGGCGCGCACGGGAAAAAAAAAAAAAAAAAAAAAAAAAAAGGGCCGCGCGCGTGCAGCCGAGGCGCGCGCGAGCAGCAGGCAAGGCAGGCAGGCAGGTAAGGCCGTAGGTGAGGTAATGCAGTAATCGGTGGGCCCTAATCTTAGGTCCTAAAGACCTATGCTCTAGATACCATCTTAGAAGCTAGGCATGAGTGTTGTGTATTATCGAGAGAATTGGTACAAGGAAGAAACCTAAGGGGTTGTACCCCACAGTGAGTAACCCACTAAGCCTACCCAAACTATAACATATTTAAACATATGTTTGACAGTTCCAGCTTGCAAGGAGTCGCGAGCGGTTTCGCGAAACGAGCTGTCACTGCGCACAAACGAGTTTTCGCGAGCTCAGTTACCGATCTCGTTACCGGTGGTAAAGCCCATGCCAATCTGCATGTTCTTTACCTCCCCTCTAGTAACATGTTTGTGAGCTTGCAGCCACCATTTTGGACAGAGCAGAATTCAACAGTGCGAACTCCACAATTCTATGAACAGAGATGGCAGCTCCCTCGCATGAGGCCCACACCAGGTTGTTGAAATGTATTCGTTTACATTTATAACTGCCTGCAGTAGAACCTAGTGTAGTTATGAGATCTTGCAGGTGGTGTACAACTGCTTCCTCTTTTGCCTATATCTTGTACCCTTGTTCATTATTGAAACTCTCTTTGACAAATCTCTCTCGACACTTTTCCTCTCGACATTCTCCTTGGCTATGGTTTCTCCTAAGCCTCGTTTCACCTACTATTCTAACATGCTATCAGAGTACGTCGCTTCTAGGACCTAATGTTCATGGGCCCACCACCTACTGCCCTGCTAGCCTAGGCCCCGGCCCGTCGCCCCTTGGCGTCGCCCCTAGCCCCTAGGCTCGGCCCCTTGGCCCCGTCGCCCTAGCTGGAGCCTCTCGGCCCCTTGGCCCAGTCGCCCCTAGCCGCGGTCCCTAGGCCCCGTCGCCTCGGCCCCTTGGCCCCGTCGCCCCTAGCCGCGGCCCCTAGGCCCCGTCGCCCCCAGCTGCGGCCCCTCGCGACCCTAGGCCCCTTCGCTTCAGCCCCTTGGCCCCGTCACCCCTAGCCGCGGCCCCTAGGCCCCGTCGCCCCCAGCTGCGGCCCCTCGCGACCCTAGGCCCCGTCGCCTCGGCCCCGGTGCCCCGTCGCCCCTAGCCGCGGCCCCCAGGCCCCGTCGCCCCCAACTGCGGCCCCTCGCGACCCTAGGCCCGTCGCCCCGTCGCCTCGGCCCCTTGGCCCCGTCACCCCTAGCCGCGGCCCCTAGGCCCCGTCGCCCCCAGCTGCGGCCCCTCGCGACCCTAGGCCCCGTCGCCTCGGCCCCTTGGCCCCGTCGCCCCTAGCCGCGGCCCTCGTCGACCCGTCGCCCCGTCGCCCCTAGCTATGGCCCCTCGCGACCTGCCGCCCCTAACCGCAGCCCCGTCGCCTCTAGTCTCGGCCCCTCGTGACCTGTCGCCCCTAGCCGCGGCCCCGGTGCCCCGTCGCATCATGGAGGGTAAGGGGGTGGCAAGAGGGGTGATGGTTTCTTCCTGCCCGCGTGCCCTGCAGTCGCACGCGCAGCTCCGCCCCCGCCCCCCTCCCCCCCCTCCATGGGGACGGGGGGGAGAGGGTGTGAGGGGGTGGCGGATGTGCCTCAGCAGCAGCAGCTGCCGCCACGCCTCCTCCTCTCTCTCTCCCTGCCGCACCTTGTGTTGGGGGGGGGGGGGGGGGGGGGGAGCTTGGAGGTTCAGGGGGAGGCAGGAGGGGATCTGCAGCACCAGCCCCCCCCGCCCCCCCTTTCTTCTCCATCCCTGGGGGGTGAAGGATTGTGGAGCAGCAGTGGGGGGGAGGGGATCTGCAGCACTAGCCCCCCCCGCCCCCCCCTTCTCCTACCTCCCCCTGCTGCGGGTGCAGCAGTGGGGGGGAGGGGATCTGCAGCACCAACCCCCCCCCGTCCCCCCCCTTCTCCTTCATCCCTGGGGGGTGACGGATAGTGGAGCAGCAGTGGGGGGGAGGGGATTTGCAGCATCAGCCCCCCCCCGCCCCCCCCTTCTCCTCTCTCTCTCCCTGCCGCACCTTGTGTTGGGAGGGGGGGGGAGCTTGGAGGTTCAGGGGGAGGCAGGAGGGGATCTGCGGCACCAGCCCCCCCCAGCCCCCCCCACTTCTCCTCCATCCCCCTGCTGCGGGTGCAGCGGTGGGGGGGAGGGGATCTGGAGCCCTGTGTGCCCTGCTGCCCTATTCGCCCTGCATGCCCTGCTGCCCTGCAGCCCTGTGCGCCCTGCTGTCCTGTGCGCCCCGCGTGCCCTGCAGCCCTGCGCGCCCTGCTGCCCCGCTGCCCTGCAGCCCTGCGCGCCCTGCAGCCCTGCGCGCCCCGCGCGCTCTGCTGTCCTACTGCGGGTCTGACCAGCCAGCAGCCGTCCCTCCACCTCTCTCTCTCACAGCTGCATGTGCCACTGTGGGGGGGAGGGTGAGGCGGTGGAGGAAGTCAGCCAGGCATCTGCAGCTGCCGCCCGCTGCTACCGTGGTACCTGCAACCGCCGCCCCCGCCTCCACCTGCTGTCTTCTTTTGTTTTCTGTCTGCTGCTGTTGGTTGGCAGGTGCTGTCGTTGAGCCCTGCTGTGCCGCCGCCCTTGCCGCCGCACGCTCCTGCTCTCCAGGCAGGCTGCCACCACATGCACCTACTTCTGCTGTGCCGCCGCCCTTGCCGCCGCACACTCCTGCTTCTACTGCTTCAACCTTGGCGGAGGGGTTGGTGAAGTTGAATCTGCTACCACTGCACCGGTTGTCACTGCTCTTGCCTGCTGTTGCTGTTTTCTCTGCACTTGGTGTACCCCTGCAGGAGGAGTACTGCACATGGTTCTAGCTGTAGGCATTTAGGGGGTGTGTTGAAATGTATTCGTTTACATTTATAACTGCCTGCAGTAGAACCTAGTGTAGTTATGAGATCTTGCAGGTGGTGTACAATTGCTTCCTCTTTTGCCTATATCTTGTACCCTTGTTCATTATTGAAAATCTGTTTGACAAATCTCTCTCGACACTTTTCCTCTCGACATTCTCCTTGGCTATGGTTTCTCCTAAGCCTCGTTTCACCTACTATTCTAACACAGGTGAGGAGTTCTCTACAGCTCATCCTCGCGACACCATCTGCGCGATTCGCAGCCACAAGTGCGACTCGAAGTAGGCAGGACATCCACTCTACAAAACGCCTTGCGTGTTCCATTCCTCAAATCAAACCGCTACTTGCTCCGTTCCAAAATTTGTCACTAATCCGCCACTTGCTTGGGTCCCAGATTCGCCACTCGCCGGTTGCCACTCGTTCCGGTTCTCCACATCCCCTATCTTGATCTACTGGGGCTCTCATCGTATTGAAACCTCCGCGACTTTCCACGACAAGCCCCCTGTAACAAGACGAAGGCGATCTCGCCTTCCTCGATTCGCCAACTCAGCTCCTTGTGATCCGAACCAGAATTCGGAACACACCCTAAGTGCATTTTGGGAATTCAATGTTGGAACTCCAACATTGAAATGTGCGACCCGACTTTCTGAGTTTCCAACCGTGGGAACAAAGTACAGAGAGCACACTAGTGCTGGACACAATGGGGCAGAGAACTACCTACAGCGCAGCAGATTACTCGACAGCACAAGACCCTACAGCTATGACTACTTCCAGCAGTGCTCGTACTCATCATGATCAACGACGACTTGGAAGACAACAATGTCAAAATATGTTTACATATTTTATATAATCGTTTGCAGTTGTAGTGTAGATATTGCATCATGTTTGGTGGTGCACCTCCTTGTGTTGCTGTTTACCTATTTGTACTTCCTATTCTCATTAGTTAACCCCTTTTTTGGCTTGCACTTTTCCTCTCGTCACTCTCGCCTAGGTCAAACCCTAGGCCCCTAACCTATTATGTTTGACATGGTACAGAGCACGTAACATCCTGGCCTGCTGTTTTCAACTACTCCATGGGCCCACCGCGTATTTCTCGTTTCGTGGCGCCCGTCGCGCCCCTAGTTGCGACTGACGTGACGGGCGCGACGGCAAGCTGTCTGCTGTCATGGCGACGAGCTGGGCGGCTCGTACTGCCCCGTTGCTCCTTCGCCCTGTCACCCGCCCAGCGCTACCCGCCCCGTCCCGACCTGCCCCACCCCGTTCTGTCACGAACACAGCAGCAGCCGCGCACAGCTGCGTACGGGCGTGCATTGCTGCGCGCAGCCGCGTACGACCGTGCGCACCCGCGCACGGCCGTGTGCGCCAGCACCAGCGCCCGTCGCCAGCACCTGCGTGAGCAGCAGCTAACGCCGCCCCCCCCTTCCCTTCCGCAGCTTCAGCCGTGGGGGGAGGGAGATGTGGGGGTGGCGGGTGTGAGTTGCCTGCAGCCCGTCCTACCCCTCCCTTCAGCGGGGTCCGCCGTGAGGGGGGGGGAGAGGTTGCGGGGGGAGGGTGAAAGGGAAACGGGGGGAGTGTGAGAGGGTGGCGAGAGAGATTCTGCAAAGCCAGCAGCCACCCCTCCTCTCTCTCTCACTGCCGTTCGTGCTGCTGTGGGGGGGAGGGTAAGAGAGGGTGGTGGGAAAACAGTCAAGCATCTGCAGCTGCCACCCGCTGCTACCGTGGCACCTCCTGCTGCCGCCCCTGCCGCCACCTGCCCTTGTTTCTGCTGTCTGCTGCTGGGGCCTGCAGGTGCTGCCGTCGAGCCGCTGCTGTCCTGCTGCATGTTGCAGCCACAGAGCCTGCTCCTCAGGCGACCTGCCGCCCCTACACCTGCTACTGCTTCTGCCTTGGCTGAGGGCGTGCTACAGCTGTATTTGCCACTCCTGCACCGGCTACTACTGCTCTTGCTTGCTTCTGTTTCTTCCGCTGCACTCCTGGTGCACCCCGTCAGAAGGCGTTTTACTCTTACTCCTGCAATCAATTATGGGGGCGTGTCAAAATATGTTTACATATTTTATATAATTGTTTGCAGTTGTAGTGTAGATATTGCATCATGTTTGGTGGTGCACCTCCTTGTGTTGCTGTTTACCTATTTGTACTTCCTATTCTCATTAGTGAACCCCTTTTTTGGCTTGCACTTTTCCTCTCGTCACTCTCGCCTAGGTCAAACCCTAGGCCCCTAACCTATTATGTTTGACAAACAAGACCGAGAAATCGCTGCCCATTACATTAGCGTTTTCCTAGACTTTGCTGATTGGTTCTAGGACTAGACAACAAGGCTAGGAAGCTATGTACATAATAATAAATGCTATGCCTTGCTATTCCGAGCTATAGGAATATGAAAGGCGACCTGAGCGACCTGCTCGAGGCGCCATGGCTAGTATCCTAGTATATTAGGATGTACCTCTGAAATGTAAGCCATCATATGATCTCTTGTAAAGCTATCTTGCTACTATCTTTCTAAAATTCTCCTAAGAGCACTTCCTACGACTACTACTCTGCCCAAACAGCTTAGTGACTGTTCCATTTGGTATCCGAGCTATCTTGATCCTCTCTTTCTTGAGAAAAGCATCATGAAGACTAGTAAGGTACCTTCTCGTGATGAATGGGCCACCTACTTGCAATCATACCGTGCCCAAATTGTTGCTGAAGTTAGAGAGAGCTTGCAAGCAGAGATGCAAGCTAGTATAGCTGCAGCTGGAGTGGCGGCAGCAACTACGAGCCCTGCTACACCGCCAGACGGAAATCAGCGCGCTGGACCCGCTCTTCCTGATTTTTTATTTCCCAGGAGAAACCAGCCAGTCGTGAGCCGTTGGCTCTTTCTTGTTGAGCAGTACCTGTTCCTGAGTCACTTAGCACCTGCCGAGTGGATTGCTTTTACCGGCACCCTTCTTCGAGGATCTGCTATCGCTTGGTGGCAATCCGTGCATGCGACCATCCAGTCATGGGATCAATTTAAGCAAGTCTTCACTGCAACCTTCCAACCGGTGAACCCGAACATTAAAGCTCGTGACGCCTTGGCTTCTCTGAAACAACTCAAATCTATTCAAGAATACGCTTCTCGCTTCCGTGACATCGCTCAAGAGATCCCGGACCTTCCCGATGCTGAACGGATGGATCGCTTCAAGCGCGGGCTGAAAACGAACGTGCGCATGGAGGTCGAGCTGAGGGACTGCTCTACGCTCGAGGAAATGATACGCGTGGCTGAACGGTATGATGCTGTCCATTACGCATACAACAAGCCTCGCTTTCCTCGTAGCCCGTTCCTTCCGTTTGCTCCCTCCTACCAGCCCTCTACTCCAACGGACTCAAATCTGCAAGAACCTGTACCTATGGACCTGGACCTGATGGAGAAGAAGAAGAGGAACCCGAGGCCTGTCATCGTGTGCTACAAGTGCGGCAAGAAAGGGTACATCTGGAAGGTCTGCCGCCAACGCACCAATCTGCCCCCGATACCTCCAACACCGAGAAACTCAAGCCGCCAGTAAACTCGGGGCAACTTTCTGGTGACTATACCTGCCCCACTATCTCTTCCCTTGAAAGTCGTAACCCCTCTGAACCTCTTCTCCTTTCTATGCTGATTCGCGGTCAGAAAGTGAAAGCCCTACTTGACAGTGGTGCTTCCTCTAGCTTCATCTCCTCCTCTCTACTCTCCAAGCTTTCTCTTCCAACCTGGCCTGATTCCTTACCTCAAACAGTATTGATGGCAAACGGAATCTCTATCTCATGCGGACAAGTACCCTTTCCTGTTTCATGTACGGTTGGAGCCTAGAAAGACAAGATTCAGTTTCAGCAAGCATCTCTCGGAGACCATGAAGTGATTCTTGGACGTGACTGGCTCTTCTTAAAAAACCCCAAGATTGATAGGTCTCTTGGAACCGTCACCATCTCTCACTCTGGAAGAGACATCACCTTACCTACCTTCTCCTCCTCCTCCTCTACCCCCACTTGCTGCAACCTCCTCTCAAAACGGCAACTAAAAAAATCCCTAAAGGACCCAAGCTCTCAATTCTTCCTCTGTTTTTTGAATCAAATTTCAGAAACTCCTATCCTCCCTTGCCCTCCCAAGGCTGCTGAAATCCCTTCTGAAATTCAACAGGTTGTCAATGAGTTCAAAGACATCTTCCCTGCTGATCTTCCCTCTTCACTCCCTCCGAAGCTTGCCATCGATCACCGCATCATCTTGCAACCCGGTGCTGAACCTACCGTTCGCGCTACGTACCGGATGAGCGTTGCCGAGCTGAAAGAAGTTCAGAAGCAGTCGGAGGAGCTTCTTGAGAAGGGCTTTATCCGCGTCAGCTCCTCTCCCTATGCAGCGCCGATTCTCTTCGTCAAAAAGAAGGATGGCAGCATGCGCATGTGCGTTGACTACCGCGCGCTCAACAAAATCACCATCAAGAACAGCTACCCCCTGCCGCGTGTGGAAGAACTCTTTGATCAACTTGGTGAGGCCAAAATTTTCAGCAAGCTGGACCTACGAAGCGGTTATCATCAAGTGCGTGTCGCTGACGAAGACATCGAGAAAACTGCCTTCCGAACACGGTATGGGCATTTCGAGTTTCTCGTGCTTCCCTTCGGACTAACGAATGCCCCTGCCACCTTCATGTCCTTGATGCACAGTGTCTTTCGGGATTTCTTGGACCAGTTTGTCATCATCTTCATCGATGACATTCTGATTTATAGCAAATCCTTGAAGGAACACGTCGAGCATCTAAGGCAAGACTTCACACAGCTTCGTGAGCATCGTCTCTTTGCCAAACAGAGCAAGTGTGAGTTTGCCAAGCCCTCGATTCCTTTCTTGGGCCACATCATCTCACACAACCAGCTTGCTATGGACCCTTCCAAAGTCAAAGCCATCAGGGAATGGAAGGAGACAACCTCTATCAAGGAAGTGCAAGCCTTCCTTGGTCTTGCCAACTACTACCGCAAGTTCATTCGACACTTTGCTGCCATCACCTCTCCCCTATCCAACCTTCTTCGCAAAAGTGAACCATTTCATTGGGACTCTGACCAGCAAACTGCCTTCAATGCTCTCAAGTGTGCACTAACCTCTTCTCCTACTCTAGCCCTACCCAACCCCTCCCTTCCCTACGTGATATGGACAGATGCGTCTCAGGTTGCAACGGGTGCAATTCTTTGTCAAGATCGAGGGCATGGCCTTCAGCCTCTCGCCTTCGAGTCCCGGAAACTCAAACCTGCCGAGTGCAACTATGCTACTCACGATCGCGAGGCGCTGGCCATCGTCCATGCAATCAAGAAGTGGCGCTGCTATGTTCACATGCAGCCCGTCACTGTCTTAACCGATCAGTGCACTCTGCAACACCTGAAGACGCAGCCCCATCTCACCCCGAGGCAGGCCCGATGGATGGAGTACCTGGAGCAGTATGTACCGGAGCTGAAAATCGAATACCGCGCTGGCCGCCTCAACCCTGCTGATTCCTTGACCTGGCCTCCTCAACCTCAGCTCACCACCATCGGAAGCGTCACATGGGACGAGAGCTTCATCAAGAAGTTCACCAAAGGGTATCGTCGTGACCATTTCTATCTCTACTCTGCTGCTGATGATAAATCATTCTTCTACGAATCCCCCGTTTGGTATAAGGCAGATTCTCGAGTCATCTGCGTCCCCGCAGAGCGCAAGCTTCGCCATCTCCTGCTACGCGAGCATCATGACCAGAATGGGCACTTCGGAGTGGACAAAACGCTTGCAGCCATCTCTTCCAACTTCTTCTGGCCCAAACTCTCTCGAGACGTCTGCTCCTACGTTCGCAGCTGCCACACATGCCAGTGCAACAAGGCTCGCAACGCAGCACCCTATGGCCTCCTACACCCCTTGGAAATCCCTCAACTCCCGTGGACTCATGTGACTCTCGATTTCGTCACAGATCTGCCTCGCACCTCCTCCCATCACAACGCCATCCTCACCGTCGTGGACAAGCTGAGCAAGATGGCACACTTTCTCCCTACCTCCACCACAGCTACAACTGAGAATGTCGCTGATCTCTTCTTCAAGGAAATAGTACGTCTCCATGGCATCCCTTCCGTACTAATCAGTGACCGTGATTCTCTATTTGTTGGCAGATTTTGGCAATCCCTTTTCAACAGATTGGGCACCAAGATTCATCTCTCCACTGCCTATCATCCTCAGTCCGATGGGCAGACCGAGATGATGAATCAAACCCTTGAAGATGCTCTGCGCGCATGCGTGAATGCACGGCAAAACGATTGGGACCAGCATCTGCCATCGATCGAATTCTCCTACAACAACACGGTGAACCTTGCCACAGGAAAAACCCCATTCTTCCTCGCTACAGGGCAGCATACTCGCACACCGGCTTCTCTCGTATGCAGCAGCGACACCAAACCGGCAGCCAAATTCCTCTCTACTCGGGAAAATACAATTGTAGCAGCACGCGCTTCCTTGCTCAAATCCCAACACCGAATGATCTGGTATGCTGATCAAGACCGTCGCGACATTCAGTTCCATACAGGTGACCAAGTCCTCCTCTCTACCACAAACCTCCCCTTGCTGCAGAAAGGTCTCACCCGTAAACCTGCACCTCGTTTCATCGGCCCTTTCACCATCACCCAAGTTCTCTCTCCTCTCACCTACCGTTTGAAACTTCCACCACACATCAACATACACCCTGTTTTTCACGTTCAGCTGCTACGTCCTTACCACATTCCTCCAGCCCATCCCCCCTCTTACCTCTACCTCCTCGTCCTCCTATGTTCACATCTAACCCTGATCTCTTTGAAGTTGAGAAAATTCTTTCCCATGAAACCTCTCCTCGCGGCACTTACTTCTTAGTTAAGTGGCGTGGGAAAGACTCTTCTCACAACCTCTGGATACACGAGACAAGCCTTCAGAATGCCCAGAGAACCCTTCAAAGCTACCTTGCATCTGCTCAAGCACCGAGGATAGTGCTTGCTAGAGAGGGGAGTATTGTAACAAGACGAAGGCGATCTCGCCTTCCTCGATTTCGCCAACTCAGCTCCTTGTGATCCGAACCAGAATTCGGAACACACCCTAAGTGCATTTTGGGAATTCAATGTTGGAACTCCAACATTGAAATGTGCGACCCGACTTTCTGAGTTTCCAACCGTGGGAACAAAGTACAGAGAGCACACTAGTGCTGGACACAACGGGGTAGACAACTACCTACAGCACAGCAGATTACTCGACAGCACAAGACCCTACAGCTATGACTACTTCCAGCAGTGCTCGTACTCATCATGATCAACGACGACTTGGAAGACAACAAGATAGAGAAATCTCTGCCCATTACATTAGCGTTTTCCTAGACTTTGCTGATTGGTTCTAGGACTAGACAACAAGGCTAGGAAGCTATGTACATAATAATAAATGCTATGCCTTGCTGTTCCTAGCTCTAGGAATATGAAAGGTGACCTGAGCGACCTGCTCGAGGCGCCATGGCTAGTATCCTAGTATATTAGGATTTACCTCTGAAATGTAAGCCATCATATGATCTCTTGTAAAGCTATCTTGCTACTATCTTTATGAAATTCTCCTAAGAGCACTTCCTACTACTACTACTCTGCCAAAGCAGCTTAGTGACTGTCCAATCATCATCATCATCATCATCATCATCTAACCTCCGAGTTCTTCTCGTGGTTTTCCTTTCGCATGGCGGCAGACGCGCGGGCTGCAGCAGCAGTACAACGATTTCAAAAAGTGGTTCAACGAGGCCAAGTGCACCAACAACCCAGACCTTGTACGCCCGCCTTTCTTTATCCGTTTCCCTTCGGTTTCCATCGTCCGCTCTTTTTCAAATTTCTCTCGAATCTTCCTTTCCATTTTTCCATCTGATCTCGGTCTCATCTTCCTTTCGCCGAATCATTCTTTTCGTTCATTTTCTCCGCAGAAGGTGGACGAGGCACTGTCTGTGGTGAGCATTGGTGCCAACGACTATCTCGCCGAGCTCAGAGGCTCGCAGCCCAACATGACGACTCTCGTTGCCCTCGCCTCCTCCGTTTCCAACCTCGTTATAAACATCACTCAGTCCCTGTACAACCTCACCGGTTCCTCCAACATCTTTATTGTCGACCTGCCGAATCTTGGCTGTGTTCCCGCCGTGCGCCGTGCGGCTGGCAGTGGGATCAGCTGCACCGAAGCTGGTAACCAGGTTACCATTATCCACAATTTCGCGCTGCTGACGAAGACGGACAAGCTGCGAAATAACCCCGCCCTGCCCATGCCGAACCTGGTTCTATTCAAGCAATCAGCGGTCTTCAAGACCATGATCCAAGTCCCCACCTCTGGTGAGACTCTTTAACTTTCCCCTCCTCTCCCCTTTTAAACTGCCCCATTTACCCCTTCTCCCCTTCTCCTCTCGTTTTTCAAATTCCGCCACCACAACGTTATGCTCCTTTCTCATCGTGTCAACCGCCACCCTGGTCCCCACTCCCCCCCTCCCCTCCCCCCCCAGGCCTGACGAACCAGACGCACCCGTGCTGCGAGGCAGTGACAAGCACGGGGGTGGTGGTGGTGTGTGCGCAGACCAGCGGGACCGGCAAGGCAGCGGTGACGGGAGGGCCGTGCGCGGCGCCGGGCAAGTCAGTGTGGTGGGATGCGCGCAATCCCACGCAGGCAGTGAACCAGAAGGTCGCCAACACCCTCTTCTTCTCCGCCAACCCCGCCATGGTCAGCCCCAACGGCCTCCGCAAGTTCTACTCGCTCTAGAGGCGGGGAGAGGCGAGGAGAAGTGAGGTTCTGTGCCGTGGGTTTGAGCTCTGCTCTCCGCCATGGTCCGGCCCAACGGCCTCCGCAAGTTCTACTCGCTCTAAGAGCCAAGGGATGTGACATTCACGCTGTCCAGGCGAACGGCTGGGCAGCTGCCTTTTCATTTGGGAACACGCTGTGCTCTAGAGCTGTGTTCCTCTGCACCTGGGTGGCTCAGGCCTGTGAGCCTTCTTGGTCACCTAGTGTGAAATAAGGGCCAGAGATTCTCTGGCAAGGACTCATGCTGCTACTGTTGGATTTGTTTGTTTATTCAACATCAATTGATTTTGAAGGACTCTGTTACTGTTACTGTTACTCTTGTCACCAACAGAGGCATAATACAAACATATTCTCTCATCTTCTGTGTAGCCATGCATGAACTTAAGTTCATACGTTTAAGCGAACCAAGCACAGGTGAATCTAATTTGGTGTCCCCTTTTCCACAATGTCTTGATACCATCTACATGGGCAAGGAGAAATCCTAACACCCTGTTCCCCTTGGTCCTGTTGACACTGCTAAGCACTGGGAAAAAAGCAAGCTCGGCTGAGGATCCATACATACCTATTCAAGAGGTAGTCCCGTCTCTGAGAAAGGCACTGTTCAAAGATGTCGGTCAGATGACTCCTGGCATGCGCTGAACGCACCACTGAGCAGCCTACCAGTACATGATTCAGCATACAAATAGGCCCACTGCTTGAAGGTTTTGGTCAGAAGGCTCCTAGCTTGCCTGCCCCACATGCACCCTGCATTTAGTGAATCCTTGTGCCCTCAGGGAGTGCCAGTGAGTGGCAAGGAGTGCCACGGGATACCAAGGAGTGCCACGGAGCGAACGGGTCGGAGTTACGAGTCAAGAGTTAGAATCAGGAGTCGTCCGAGTCAGGGCCGGTGTTGAAGGTTTTGATGAGATGCTTTAGTTCATCCCGCACTGCTGTGTAGCAGAAGCGGTACTGCTCCTGTTGGGTGACATGGGGGGGGGGGGGGGGCGAGAGAGGTGGAGAGGAGTGAAGGAAGGTGAAAAGAGGTGAAGAGGGGTTAGAGTCAGGAGTCGTCCGAGTCAGGGCCAGTGTTGAAGATTTTGATGAGATGCTTGAGTTCGTCCCTCACAGCGGTGCAGCAGAAGCGGTACTGCTCCTGTTGGGTGATGAGAGAGGTGGAGAGGAGTGAAGGGAGGTGAAGGGGAGTGAAGGCTTTGGTAACGGTTTGATCTCATCTCGCACTGCTGTGTAGCAAAAGCGGCACTTCTCCTGCTGGTTCAGCAGAAGCGGCACTTCTCCTGTTGGTTCAGCAGAAGCGGCACTTCTCCTGTTGGTTCAGCAGAAGCGGCACTTCTCCTGTTGGTTCAGCAGAAGCGGTACTTCTCCTGTTGGTTCAGCAGAAGCGGCACTTCTCCTGTTGGTTCAGCAGAAGCGGTACTTCTCCTGTTGGTTCAGCAGAAGCGGTACTTCTCCTGTTGGTTCAGCAGAAGCGGTACTTCTCCTGTTGGTTCAGCAGAAGCGGTACTTCTCCTGTCGGTTCAGCAGAAGCGGTACTTCTCCTGTTGGTTCAGCAGAAGCGGTACTTCTCCTGTTGGTTCAGCAGAAGCGACAAGGTACGGTGCACAGGGGAAAAGAGGGGCGGAATGAGTTGAAGGGAGGTGCAGAAAGGTAAGGAGAGGTGAAGGTTTTAAAGAGGTGCTTGCCCTAAAATCACACCGTTGTTTACCCTGCTATCACACCCACCTTGGTCTGCACCATGGCGGCGCGCTGCTGTCGCAGCAGAAGAGCATATGTACCAACAGTGGCCGCCATGTTGAGCGCACCCTGCTTTGCCCTGACATCACATCACACCCACCTTGGTCTGCACCATGCCAGCGCGCTGCTGTCGCAACAGAAGAACAGTGGCCGCCATGTTGAGCGCTGAGAGGTCTTTGGAGTCGGCTCATATGTCATCATGCCATGCTCTAAAAGCGCACCCTGCTTTGCCCTCGCATCACACCCACCTTGGCCTGCACCATGCCAGCGCGCTGCTGAGAAGTAGCACTGTGGCCGCCATGTCAAGTGCCGAGAGGTCCCCCTGCAGCACCCTCTGCACTGCACGGTCCCCCTGACATCACACATACCTTTCTCTGCCCTGAAATCACACGTACCTTGGTCTGCACCATGCCGGCGCGCTGTTGCCTAAGCAGCAGCACAGTCGCTGCCATGTTGAGAGCCGAGAGGTCCCCCTGCAGCACCCTCCGCACTGCATGGTCCACCACACAGTAGGCTCCCGTTCGGCCGATACCCGCACTGATAGAGTGAGGGAGAGAGAGGGAATGGGAGGGGGTGTGTGAGAGGGCGTGAGAGAGAAGTTGAAGGAGGTGCATGACATCATGACATGATGCCATCCCTGCAGCACCCTCCGCACTGCATGGTCCCCACACAGTAGGCTCCCGTTCGGCCGAAGCCCGCACTGTGAGAGAGGGAGCGTCAGAGAAAGGGGGAGAGGGAGTGCAAGGGGGAGAGAGAGATCATGTTACCATCCCTGCAGCACCCTCCGCACTGCATGGTCCACCACACAGAAGGCTACCGTGCGGCCGATGCCCGCACTGCGAGAGAGAGAGGGAGAGGGAAATATTGTGAAAATGTGGGAACGAGAGTCAGAGATTGTGAGTGAGAGGCACAGGCGATGTGTGCATACATGGTCCATCCATCACATAGTAGACCCCTGTGTGCCCGATGCCCGTACTGGCAACAGCGGAAGGGTGCGGAGCAGGACAAGTGCAGCTTCTGAGGCGCCTCAAAAGGCGCCTCGAAAAGGGAGGGTGCATAACATGACCGGTGCAGCTTACCTGCAGTGGATAACGAAGGGTCCACTAGACGAGGGCGAGTCTCTGAGGGAGCGGATGAGGTCGCGAATGGACTCCGTGTCCCGCGGCACACCGTGGTCGGGCCAGTCCAGGAAGTGCAGATGCAGCACTGAGAGCGGCGTGCCTGATGCCTGGAGGATATACAGCAAACGGCAGGACAAGGAAAGGGGGAGACGGATGAGGGGACAGACATGAATGGGCTCCGCCTGGCGCCTGGGAAGCCAGACAAGAAGGGGCGCGCCTGGCGCCTGGGAAGCAGAGTGAGCGGCAGGGCAAGGAGGAGGGGAGGGAATCAATGAAGGGGCAGGTAAGAAGAGAGTGTCTCTGTGTCCCAGGTCACTCCGTAGTCTCGCCGCCAGCTGGTCTAGGTGGTGCAGGTGCAGCACAGGGAGGTTCTTTGCCCTCACCCCTCGTGACCATACTCATGGCTCCCCACTCACCATCCCACTCCCCACTCACCGTCTCGTTGGTGACTGTGAGTTGGCGCTGCAGTGTGCCGCCATCACTCATCTCCACCGTCGCCTCGTTGCACACGCGCATGTGCCCGTACGCCTCGCTCGCACCCGCCTTGGATGGGAAGTAGTGAGCGCACTTGATCTGGTGGAATAGGGGAAGCGGAAGGAGACAGAGAAGTGAGGGGAGACAGGGGCGAAGGGGGAGAGGGGGGAGACGGGGAAGAGAGGGAACTGACTCGCCTTCCCCGTTCCTTCTCTGCCCGTCTCACATATGCTCCCCATCTCCCCATCTCCCCATCACACACACACACGCACACGCGCACGCGCACACGCACACGCACACACACACACACACACACACACACACACACACACACACACACACACACACACACACACACACACACACACACGTAAGACGAGAGAGCAATGCACTCACCCGCGACCCCTCGACCTCTCGGGTGAGCATGATGACAGCAGCGGCGCGCTGCTCCCACACCATGTGCCATCTACCTTCCCCATGCTCATTCCCCCCATCCCTTCCCTTGCCACACACACAGCAACGAACACTCACCCGCGACCCCTCCACCTCGCGGGTGAGCATGATGACAGCAGCGGCGCGCTGTTCCCACACCATGTGCCAGAAAGCCGCTGCTGTGTCGTCCAGCGGGCCCTGCGCCGCTATGTACCGCGGCATGTGTGCCTCCAACGGGTCCTGGGGTGGTTTGTGGTGGTTTGGGGTGGGGTAGGGTGGGGTCGGTTGAGGTGGGGTAGGGTGGGTTGGGATGGGGTGGGGTAGGATGGGGTGGGGTGGGATGCAAAGACATAGAGGTGCTTATTGAGTCAGCTTTGGCCCTAGGCCGCTATGTACCGCGACATGTGTGGGTCCGACGGGTCCTGCGGTCGTTTGTGGTGTGGTGCGGTGTGGCAAGGAGTGGTGTGGTGTGGTGGGTGAAAAGGCAACAAGGTGACTACTGAGTCAGCTTCAGCCCTGAGCTGCCAATGCCAAGTACCCTGGCACAGAGGGGTTCGGCATGTGGTGGGGGTCGAAAGAGAAAAGAATAGATGACTCAGAAGAAACAAGGAAGTACAGGAGTCAGTCAGAGAAGGTGGGTCTAGTCTATTATACGCCACTGGGTTGGGAGTGACTATGTCATACCGTGACTATATGCGACGCGTTGATGTAATCTGAGCCGTCCGATTGTGATCCGCTCTGCCCTCCCAAAAGGACCCGGCTGTTCTCATCTGAGGGACAGGCAGACGGGCAAAGGGAAAGAAAAAGGAAGAGGGAACGTTCTGAACAACAGGAGGCATAGATGCAGCAAGGATCTGTGCAGGAAAAAAAGGAGGCTGAGTTGCCAAGATTGAACGCCAGGGCAATGTGGCTCTCTGGCTGGTTCACTTTAGGTCCAACGCAACTCTTTCAACTCCACTGCAAGGGCGTGGAGGGATCATACTTTCAAAAGTGATGTCAGCATGACTCACAAGGGAGCACGTCAATGTAGCGGTTCTTTGGGCGGTTGACTGGCAGCATCGCCGAGGTAGCTTCCTGCCTGCTCTCCCCCGAAGCTCTCGCCTGCGCCTGACCAGTCATGCCCGCACACGCAGGGAAATCCAAAAAACGAGATGGCACATGGCATGATTTTTTTTTTTTTTTTTTTTTTTTTTTGGAAAGACTCAGTTGCTGGCACTGAGTGCTGCTTGCTCTATCAAGAGGCTCTGGCCTGGGCCTGCCCATTCATGCATCTGAAAGTGCTGTGGTGTGTCGGATGCAACACGCTGCGATGCAAGGGGATGCAGCGCGGTGCCAAGGGATGTCATGCCACGAAGCGTCACTCACCCGCAGCCCTTCGAACTCCTCCACAAATCGTTGCTTCCCAGTCACATTCGATACAGCGTCAAGCTTCGAGACGTCTCAAACTCTGCGTGATTGTAATATAAATTTGTGACGTCTCGAAACTCACCCGCAGCCCTTCGAACTCCTCCACGAATCGTTGCTTCCCAGTCACATTCGATACAGCGTCAAGCTCGCGTATCCGTTTCTTCAGCTGCTTTAGCGCCTCCTCGCACCACCCCAACCGCTCCTCAGACATTTCCCACCCGCCCCACTCCCCCCTCGCCTCTCCCCCAGCTTCCACCCCTAATTCCCTCTCCTCTCCCTCTCCCTCTCCCCCTCCCCCTTCCCCTCCCCCACCCCCTCCCTCTCCCGCGTCTCCACCCTCCGCCCTTCCATCCGCTCCAGCCCTACCCGCGTCTGTCCGCTCATCTGCTATCCCCTCCTCACCCTCCTCCAAAGACTTGCTATGAGGCAGCCCCAAACCCCCCAGCGTTTCTCGTTCCGCGATAGTCGGCTCCGCGACACGCGGCGCAGCGTCGTCGTCCTTGGCGGAAATAGGTCCGGAGAACGAGTGCCGGACCGTAGGAGGCCGACTCCCCGAACCTACGGAAACCGAGGCGCTCCTGCGGCTCGGGCTCGCGAAAGGGTCGGGGCTCATGGCGAGGCAGTCGTCGTCTTCTCCAAGCGGGTCTCTGCCGTCGCTCGCGGAGTCGTCGGGCTGCGGTCGGCGACCGCTGCGACTACCCGAGTGACTACGAAAGTTGTGGCCTAAACGGGAGGCGATGCCTTTGCCAGCGTGCTCGGTTTTGCGCTTGATTTCCCCCCATATCCGACCCGGCGACATGCGACCGGGCGATGACATTGCTCCGGAAGCCACCGTTAACCAGGTCGCGATGAGGCCACGCTTAACCAAGAGCTATGTCAAAGAGAGGTTAACTTAACCAAGAGCTATGTCAAAGAGAGGTTAACTTAACCAAGAGCTATGTCAAAGATAGGTCAACTTAACCAAGAGCTATGGCAAGTTTAATGTTCAGTGTTAGTGAAGCAGGTAGTTAGTACGACTAGGTGGAAGCAGTGTTGCAAGTTGTGAAGGATAAGACCGCACGAGAAGATCTGTGCCGGCGGTTAGGTATACGACAACGGAATAAGGACACGGCGAATAGACGAGCCGAGTGCTTTTAGGTGTGCTGTCATATGCCGTCGAAAGGCTCCCGTTCGGAGCTGATAGGATAAAGGGTAATGATAAACCGACGTCGGGGGCTGGGTCAGATAGTCAACCTACAAGGGGAGGGATCTCCTTGATTGAACTGTGACAGCTGTTTCGAGGGAACCAGCGGAAACGCTCGGAAGGAGATAAGCGGCGCTAAACTGGTGGGGGAGGAGAGGTCTTCATGACTAACTAGGAGTCTGCCAGAAGTAGTCTGTTATGCAGAAATGGTCTTCCACACCACCCACACAAGTCAGACAGGGGTGCGGGGGAGAAAGCATTCCCTCCCAGCCTAAGGCACGCGCGACAATTCCAGCTGCTTCCTCCACAAGTCAGGCTGCTGCCCCAACCGCGACCGCGACACCTCACTCCGTCGCTCCGCGATCCAATTCCCGAGGCTGCTCGGTGACCCGCTCCCCTCCCCTCCCCCCTCACCCCTTAGTGGATCTGCACTTTGTGAGTGGTGGCAGTGGTTGAGATTGACTGAGGTTCGTGAGCAGATGGCGCAAAAGGGTCAAAGTTCGGCTGAGTCAGTGCGAGGTGTGCTTGGATCGAATGGTGATAACGATGAATAATCTGGGAACTGAGGACCCCCTGCAGCAGATCTGCTAAGCGACGGCTAAGATTTTGTCGATTTCGTTGCGAGTTGCAGTGGTGTTCGCCGAAGTGGTGTTTTCTGAGCTTTGCAGGAAACGGGAAGCACTGATTGGCTGGAGAGCTTCCACTGACCACGAAAGTGTAACAGACACACTATCATCTGGTATTTTCTGGTTACCGTCTCGTTACAAAATATCAGCTCGCTAGCATGCCTTGAATTCTTCGCGAACCCAAACCAGTCAACTCCCGCACGGCACCAGCAATGCTCCCACATTCTGAGACGCACTATTTCGAGTCCCACATTAGCAATGCACATTCTAGCAAGCCTTTGTTCTAATAATAATTTGTAGCATCCCTAGGAATCGAGTGATTGTTGCACCGCGGGTCAGCATTCGTAAACCGTAAAAGGGTGGGTCGAAGACCGGACGGCGGTTTGGTTTGACCAGATTTGAGAGTTATATCGTTACGTATACCGCTCAACGTGGTCGCTAAGCTCGAGCGGGAATCTAACGGGTGTTTTTCTGCGAGCGAACGAAATTTGTCAGTCGAAGGCCGTTCCAGCTCCAGAAACTTTTGCGTCTGCCGCAGGTTAAAAGGATAGGCGGATGACGTCAGAGAATGTTCGTTTCGAATTCGACCACCTCCGACGGTACCACTTACTTGCGAATCGCTGAAATGGAGGTCTGTGGTTGTGTGAGAGCGGCAGCCGAGGAAAACCTAGAACGCGGTTACGTGATCGGGATCGTGATCTGCCGCGCGTATTGAGTTTAACGACACGTGGAGAGAGGAAGAACAAAGGCACTGTAGAAGATGCCTTTTAGGGACCTTCGTGTTATGTAGTCAGGCATGTTTGTTCTTGTGTAAAACGACAGGACCAGCCTTACGATATCATGGACTTCCTCAGCCGAGCTACAGGCAGTAACGATCACCATGGTCAGGTAATTGTGCAATGCTGAGCACTTGCTGACACTTGATTTCCTCTAGTGGGTTCCACTTCAGTGATTGTAATTGTTGGATTTTTTGTTCTGATTTATGTCCTTATTTAAATCACTGTGCTACAGCAGGAAGGGATCCCCGAGGAGCCAGACTACGCTATCCGTTGCTACGCGACCAAGCACTCATGGAGAGGACGGTACAAGCGGGTCTTCTGTGTGTCATCCTCCGCTATAATCACACTCGATCCTCACTCCCTCTCGTCTACCAACCACTACACCCTCGCGGCGGATTATGAGGGAATTGTGGTTGCTCCTCCGCTTGGAGGGAAGGAAGACGGACAGGTGGGTATGACGGTCAGCAATCATGATATTGTTGCTGCGGAATCCGGAATAAGCAACTGCCACTTGTCATGATTCGATGTATTTCAACCTCATAAATAGCACCCACTATTTCCTCTCATGAATTTCTGATTAGATAGATAAATTTCAAGATGGTGCTTAATCAAGCCTTTAATAATCTATCCGTGCCTACTCCTGCCTCGTTAACTCTCACAGCAGCTGGAATTCACAATCAACGTTCGCACAGATGGTCGTGGCAAGTACAAGCCCATCAAGTTCTCTGCACGGTACCTCTCCACGCTCTACTTAGAAGCGCGCATCCACATTTCATCTTAAGCTTTGTGTTTCTTACTCCATGCCCCTAGAGCGTCTGAGCTCTGCATCATATCATTATCGATTTACTAGTGCTCCACCTTAATTATCGAATGCTAACTTCCCATCCAACTATCCGTTATTTATGTTTCCAGGCACCGGGCGTCGCTGCTAACAGAGCTGCACAGGGTGGTGGCAGCACTGCATCCGCACCCGCCTCGTCCCCTCACCACACCCTCCACCATCTTCCCTGTTCTCTGCCTCCGTCGCCGCTCCCAATCCTGGGTGCCTAGAGTACGACTTGCACACATACGCTTTTCAATGCTTTTACTACATGGTGTTTCACCTCCCCCGCCTTTCGCCCCTCACACTCCCCTCCTATTATAGCTGTTTCCCTCCTTCGCCCCCCCCCCCCCCCCCCCCCCCTCATTGATCACGTCATGCTGACTCTCCCTTCTCCATGTCCCCTCATGCTGCCTCTCACTGCCATCCGATTCCATCCAGGCTATGCGCATCTCACCAGTGGGAATCGAGGTCATCCAAGCACCCGTGGAAGCAGTATCAGCTGCTTCCACTCCCTCAACCTCCTCCTCCTCTCTGTCATCCATAGCAGCAGCAGTGCGCTGGAGCGTGGAATTCCAAGGACTCTCCTCCCCTGCTCTCACTGTGCTCGCTAGCCCAGAGGAGGCCGCGTCTGGTGCAGGCGCATCTGGTGGAGGCTCATCTGGAGGGTTCTTTGGCGTGCGCAGGGGAGTGGCAGGGAGGGAGGATGGGGGGTTTATTCTGCGACTGGGGTTTGGGAGGCGGGCTAAGGCTATTACAGCTACTGGAGGGTGTTCCAACTCAGCCATCCTGTCAAAGATTGTAAGCTTCAGATTCCCAAAAAGTTCCACCTTTCAGTGAATCGCCTTGCACTGATTTGAGTCTTCCGTTGAGTCCTTTCGAGCATGTAGCTTTGTTTACGTCCTTCAGTTTTTCCAGCAACCATCTTTTGAGCTTGTCAGGACCTTGCTGCAATCTCGCTACCCGTTTCTGCTTACCCCAGGTTGACACAGCCAAGGGCTCCATAGGGCGTGCGCTCACAGTGGACACCACCTCTCGCCCGAGTGTCACCGACTTTGTTTCACAGACTGGTGTGTGCAATGCAGTGCAGTACAGGACGGTGCAGTGCAGTGCAGGACGGTGCAGGACGGTGCAGTGCAGTGCAGGACAGTGCATTATGTAAAGCGGTTTCAGTTGCTTATTTCACAGGTGCGGTTTCATTGCGTATACAAATTCTGTCCTGTTCTTTCTGTCTCCTCACCTGCCAACGATGTGCCCCACCCGAAACCCTTTAATTCTCACAGCGGTGGGAGGAGTGGGTCCCAGCGAGCCCCCTCTAGGGGAGTGGTCCGTCACCCTCGTCCGCCACTCTGCTCTGCTCCCAGACCCCTCCCCTCGTGCCTCCTCTGCTGCTGCCGGTGGTGCTGGCGCTGCCTCTAGCAGCAGCAGCAGCAATAGCGTGGCAGGGGGGGGAGTGCAAGGCGGGTTGGGTGTGGAACGGAGTGGCTCGGCACGCCAGTTTGCCGTGACTCGGCACTACTTCGTGGAGCGCAACCCAGTCACTTATGAGGTGAGCGGAATTCTCGAAGTCGCCTGAGGTGAGCCGGCAACGGGAAGGTTTCTGAGGCGCCTCAGAGTTTTTCCCGTGAGTCGGCACTACTTTGTGGAGCGCAACCCAGTATTCATGAGGTGAGCGGGCAAGTGGCATGTTGGCGGGTGTAGCATGGTCTGAAATCATTCCAGGTGCTGGCATGGCATGGCATGGATAATTGTGTCACATTCAGCTTCATTGAGGCCCTTCGGCTCCCAACATCCTTCCGTTGCTGTGTGTGACAGGCCACATACATGCGGCAGCTCTCAACCGTGTTGGCTCTGGTGCGATGGGTGGAGGAGCCTCAACTGCTCGCCCTGGAGTTCGTTGATGGCGCACCAATCCTGGTGAGACACGTGTTGCTATGCCCTATGCCCTGCTTCCTTTTCCCTCACGCATCTGTCAGCACAAGCGCCCCTTTCAGTCGCGTTTCATGATTCGTCCATCACACATACGAAGCACATGTATGTCAATCCAAGTGTCACTCACAATGTTCAAGTATGAGTATTTCGCTCACCCACCCACCCGCCAGGTGTACCGCTGTGCAGCACGTGACTCTCTCCTGTCTGCCCTCAAAGACGCCATCGAAACCGAGGTGAAACGTTAGGATTTAGACCTGATGGTCTCGGGTTTAGGTGTATGGGATGATATTTCTCCCTGTCTCGCTCACACCTGACTCACTCAAACATCATTTCCACCCTGTTGCCTCAGCCTCCTACACTTACACGTATTCCCTTCCCTCCTATCCTCTCCCCCACACAGACATCTCAACCCACACCGGTTCTTGCTCGCCCCACTGCCACCGGCCACAGACTAGACGGCCCTTACGGCGACGCCTTCCATGCCTACTCCCCCCCACCCCCTGCCTCCTCCACCTCCTCTTCCTCCGTTTCCCACGCAGCTACCTCCGCTGCTCCCACCTCCTCCTCCTCCTCCTCAGACGCCTCTGCAACTCCAGCAGCAGCATCGTCATCCTCATCATCAGGAGCAGCAGCAGCGGCAGCGGCAGTGGCAGCAGCGGCAGCGTCTGCAAGCCTAGAGGCATCCTCTCTCTCCATGTCGCGCCTAGGCCAGGGGCTGTTTGGCGACGTGGAAGGGGATCAGCTCCTGGTGAAGCACGTCGCAGCAGCAGCCAAGGATGCAGTTGCGGACGGGGGGACCATCCCGGGGTCGAAAACCCGGCTGTGGCGTAGAGTCAGGGAGTTCAACGCCTGTGTGCCTTACTCAGGGCTTTCCGCAGGGGTTGATGTTCCTGATGTGGTCGTGATGGCTGTGCTTAGCATGCTGCCTAGTCCGCCGGTTCCTCCTCCTGCTGGTACCGAGGCTGCTTATAACGAAGCAGGTGCTTATAGCGCAGCGGCGATTCTCCCTGCGCCTTCCCCGAGAGCTGCTGGGACACACATTGGGTTGCTGGCGTGTCTGCGGCGCCTGGTGGGGGCAAGTGGCGCGTTCTCATTGGTGGTGGGGATGCCGGGAGCAGTGGGGAGGATCCTGGGGCTGGTGCGGAGTGGATCAGAGGCAGTAGCTGCTGAGGCACTTGGTGAGTCTTTTGAGGGACTGCTGTTGGAGGAAAGGTGAAGAAGAGCGAGTGGCATAGGGCGTTGGCGGGGAGTTGAGTGTGATGGGGATTTTTTTTTTTTTTTTTTTTTTTTGGCTCCTGCTTTCATCGTTGTCCCGGTTTTCCTGCTCCGTATCCTTCCTCCTTATATCCTGCTTCTATGATCTATCCCGCTTCTACCCGGTTTCTCCCATTCTCCTCCCACCTTTGCATCTCCTCACAACCCCCCTGCCCCTTACCCACTAGGCTTACTGCGAGCCATCATAGCACTCCCAGTCTCTATGCGAAATACAGCCAATCAGGTTGGAGCAGCCGGTCAGGGCTCAGCAGCTGCCGGCACAGCGTGCAACAAGGCCATGGCTGCTCGTGCTGCTGCGAAAGCTGCCTTTTTCCCCACGTTGGTCCAGGTAAGCCCCCTCCTTCACAACCATCCATCTACGGTTCCCTCTGCACACCCTTGTTCTTGAAATAATTTATGAGGCACCTCAAAAGTCATTCCCCTCCTTCACAATCATCCATGTAAGGTTCCCTTCCCACATCCCCGATCGAATAACTCCCGCTGCGCTGGCCATATGTCCTTGGAGTGCCTTTGTGTCCAGAAACAGGGGCAATCAACTTCAAGATTTTGTGTCTCCTTGTGTCTTGTTGCCCGCTGTCTTCTTTCCTTCCTCTCCCTGTCTATCGTTGCTTGCACCCCGTTTTGAGACGTCTCAAAACTCTCCCTGTCTATCGTTGCTTGCACCCCGTTTTGAGACGTCTCAAAACTCTCCCTGTCTATCGTTGCTTGCACCCCGTTTTGAGACGTCTCAAAACTCTCCCTGTCTATCGTTGCTTGCACCCCGTTTTGAGACGTCTCAAAACTCTCCCTGTCTATCGTTGCGTGCTTGCACCCCGCCCTGGTGGCAGCGCTGGTGAATCGCCTCAAGCCACGGTCGGTATCGCCGCTGCTGTCAGCTGCAGCAGTGGCCGTGGTGGAAGCGCTGGTGTGCTCCCCTGACAGCGACACCACACAGGACACTAAAGCACTGTCCCTTCTCTATCGTTCCCATCTTCTCATCCCTCCCCATGGTTGTTCGTTTCTATCCCGCCCAGGTGGCAGCGGTGGTGAATCGCCTGAAGCCACGGTCGGTGTCGCCACTGCTGTCAGCTGCAGCAGTGGCAGTGGTGGAAGCGCTGGTGTGCTCCCCTGACAGCGACACCACACAGGACGCAATCTTCCATGAGACGCTGCGCCAGGTGGCGAATCTGAAGCGCCGCCTCTTCTCCCTCTTCGCACATCCAGCCGAGGGCACGCGGGAGGCAGTGGCAGTCATCATGTGCACCATCGCAGAAGAGGACGAGGCCGCCGCCCGGCCCATGCGCGATGCCGCCCTAAAAGACGGCGCTTTCTTGCGGCACCTGAGCAACAGTGTTGCAGCAGCCGGGGGGGAGAGGAGAGAGTTGAGCCGGCAGCTGATTGCCCTCTGGGCCGAGGGGCATGACCCTAGCTTGGATCTTATCCGAAGGTGCTTCCCTCCTGGCCTCTGTGCACATCTGTACTTCCGTCGCGACACGTCAGCACTGCCAGGTCAGCAGCAGGCCGGGAGGAAGGGCAGGAGGAGGGTATCAGCAGCTGCTGCTGCTATTGGCCGCAGAAGGCATGGGCTAGGGGGTGCGGGCGCTGCTGGGGGATGGGGCAGTGCGGGGGAGAGCTTGGTGGGCAATCTGGGGGTTGGTTTGGGAGGAGGAGGGTCTATGGCAGGAGCAGGGAGTGGTGGGGATGGGCAGTTCTCAGCAGCTTCAGCGGATTTTCTGTCTCAGTCCACGCCTTTCCTGCCCTCCTCCCGCCCGCAAGACCTGTCCATTTCGGACCTCTGGCCTGCCGGAGCTGCCTCAGCTTCGGCCCTAGCCAGCTCGGTGATAGGTTCGGTGTCCAGTTCGGTCCGGGATGCCCTGGTCTCCGCTTCTGCTGCTGCTGTCGAAAATGCTCTCTCTGGTGGTGTTTCCGCTGCCACTGCTACACCTGCTGCTGGTAGCACTACTGCTGCCTCTGCTTCTGCTGCTGCTGCTATTGCAGGTAGTGCTGGTGCAGGATGTGCTGGTCCCGGTATACCTTGCGGTGCTGCTTTGGACCCGTTGTCTTCAGCAGCACGTGTGTCAGGAGGAGCAGGTGGAGGAGCAGCAGCAGGAGCAGCAGTGGCAGGGGCAGCAGGAGGAGCAATGCATGCAGGCCCTGTGGTCGCAGGAGCACATCAGCCACACTCCTCTCAGCAGCAGCAGCAGCATCAGCATCACCAGCAACATCAGCAGCATCAGAATCAGCAACAATCGCAACAACAGTCTCAGGGACAGCATCCGCATCACCAGCAGTATCAGCAGCAACAGCAGCATTATCAGCAGCAGCAGCAGCAGCAGGGGAGCGGAGCCCCAGCAGCAGTAACAGCACTTCAAACAGGCTCACCCAATCCTGCCCAGCTTAACCCTCCAGCTGCGCCAGCACCACAGGAAGCAGGCACAGCTGGGGGAGGTCTCAACTGGGAGCGGTTCTGGCACGAATTTGCAGGGGATCACTGCAGGGCGGATCTGATATGGAATGAGCGCACGAGGCAGGAACTGAGGGAGGCTCTTCAGGGGGAGGTACATCTGCTGGACGTGGAACAGGAGAGGTTCATGGGGGGGGGAGGGGCAGAGGAGGACAGGCGGGAGGACAGCCGATCGGAGAAGGGATCGGAGAAGGGAGGGTCTGGTGGTGGGGAGGGTGATGGGGAGGGTGGTGGGGAGGAGGAAAGGGGAGTCGTGCTTAGCTGGAATTACGCTGAGTTTCGAGTGCGGTATCGGTCGTTGGTCTGTGAGCTGTGTGTAGGGGGTTACTACCTGCGCCTCTTCCTCCACCCAGCTGCCCTTGACGGTCAATCAGACGCCGCCGCTGCTGCTGCTGCTGGTGACGGTGCTGTGGATGCTCCCACTGGCAATGCGGGGGAGGCAGGGGCGGCAGCAGTGGGATCGATTCGGGACCCTGCCGCATTCTTCCGGTCGCTGTACCATCGGTTCTTGAGGGAGGCGGATATGGGGCTCGTGGTGGATGGGGTTGATGCCTCACAGGACCGTGCCAGGTGCGTGCTCATTATGAACCACTGTTGAGAATCCTCAGAAGTGATCTAACTTCCGAATTCAACCCATCTTGTCAATTTTATCGCTTTCTTTTGACAACGGATTTTGCCCTGTCTCCATCTGATTGCAGGCTGAGTGAGTGGTGCGACCCCACAGGCGAAGACTGCTTCGGGGTAGCCCAACTGCAGCAACCCGCCTGTGATGAGGCGAATTTTGAGTCGACTAAAACACATTTCCCTCCTGCCTCCCACTGTAAATGATTGCAGGCTGAGTGAGTGGTGCGACCCCACAGGCGAGGATTGCTTCGGAGGAGCCCAGCTGCAGCAGCCTGCCGCAGCAGCAGCAGGGGGTGAAGAAGCAGTGGGAGGAGGCGCAGGCAAGGACGACGGGCAAGGAGGGCAGGGAGGGAAAGGAGATAAGGGAGGGAAGGGAAAGAAGGGAGGGGGGGCGGTGAGCAATGCGGTGCGGGAGCTGTGTGCGCGGGCGATGGCGATAGTGTACGGGCAGTACGGGGCGGTGATAGGGCCGTTTGACGGCACGGCGCATGTCACTCTGCTGCTGGATCGCACCTTGGATAGAACCCTCCGCCACCGCCTGCTGCTGCTGCTCAAGGTATGTGTGTTGCAAGTGTGCAGCAGTGAGTGCCTGTGTCGCTCTTGATCATTCCAAGGCACGTCACTCTGCTGCTGGATCGTACCTTGGATAGAACCCTCCGCCGCCGCCTGCTGCGGCTCCTTAAGGTATGTGCTATGCAAGTGTGCAGCAGTGAGCGTGCAGCAGGGAGTGCACAGCGGAGAGTGCTTGTGTACCTTTTGACATTCTAGAGAATTTCACGCTGCTGCTGGATCGCACCTTGGATAGGACCCTCCGCCACTGCCTGCTGCTGCTCAAGGTACGTGCGAGGTGTTCAGCAGTGAGTGTGCTGAGAATCCTCAAGAGTGTCCCACTGCTGCTGGATCGCACCTTGGATAGAACCCTCCGCTGCCACCTGCTGCTGCTCCTCAAGGTACGTGCGAGCAGCGAGTGCCTGTGTCACTTGTAGAAATCTCAAGATTGTCACGCTGCATATCGCACCTTGGATAGAGCCCTCCGCCGCCGCCTGCTGCTGCTCCTCAAGGTGCGTACATGTGTTCAGCAGCGAGTGCCTGTGTAGCAGAATGCGGCGGTATGGCCCTTGCCTGGTCTCCTTGCGTCTCTCACACCCCTACCTGGCCTCTGTGTCGTGTCATCTGCAGGCGCTGGTGCGAGTGCGGGAGAATGTGAGTGCGTGTGTTGCGGTGGGAGGGTGTGAGCTGGCAGTCGACCTCCTCTGCTCTGCACACGACGCTCACGAGCGCACCTCCATCCCCCTGCAGGTATATCATATATGTGTGCACTATCCACTTACGTACCACCCCGATGCACATGCACCGCACCATCTCCTTACCATCCCTCCCCAGATATACCAGCTCTCCTTCCACACCCCTCCGTATGCAACCCCCCTTACCCATGTGCATCACATGGTCCACGATCACCTCCCTCCCATCCCTTCCTCCACATCTACCCCCCCATCCCTCCTGCCAACTCATCCCACCCCTTTCTGGTCACCACTCTTGTCAACACACCCGGCGGTCATCACTCCCGTTCACCCTGCACTTTCCCTTTCTTCTTTCCTCATCAACCCCATCCCCATCACCCCCATTCCACCTAACATGCCACCCCCCCTTCCAGTCGAACCTGCTGGCAGCGACGGCATACACAGAACCTCCCAAGGAGTGGTCCTACATGCTGCCCAACGGAGGCCGTGTGGGGCAGGTGGGGCCGGTGCACAAGGATGCATTTTGAGTCAACTGAACAAACATTCTCATCACCCCCATTGCTCGCACCCCCTTGCAGTCGAACCTGCTGGCAGCATCGGCATACACAGAACCCCCCAAGGAGTGGTTCTACATGCTGCCCAACGGCGGCCGCGTGGGGCCCGTGCTCAAGGCAGCAGTGCAGCAGGCGCGGTGGCGGGGAGAGGTGGACTGGAGCACCCGCTGCTGGGCGGCGGGGTGGGATGAGTGGCGCCGCGTGTGTGACGTGCGGGAACTGCGCTGGGCCATGGCCACTGGCGTCGCGATTCTTACACCTGCTCAGGTCTGTTTGGATACCTGCGCGGGTTTGTTTGCAAGGTGGACTGGGGTAGCACCAGATGCTGCTGGGTGGTGGGGTGGGATGATTGGCGGCGTGTGTGTGACGTGCGGGAGCTGCGCTGGGCCATGGCCACCGGCGTTGCCATCCTAACACCTGCCCAGGTGGTTCTTATGCCAGCTCAGATTCGTTTTTTCTCCTGTTGTTGTACTTACTGTTTGGTTCTGGTGCGGATATGCTCAACCGTTATCAGGTTCTTGTGTTTCTCAGAAACAGAACAGATCCAGGCTATGTTGTATTAATCCCCTCCCTTTCTCCCTCCTCCCCCCCTCCCTCCGTCCCTCCCTCCCTCCCTCCCTCCCTCCCTCCCTCCCTCCCTCCCTCCCTCCCTCCCTCCCTCCCTCTCTCCCTCCCTCCCTCCCTCCCTCCCTCCCTCCCTCCCTCCCTCCCTCCCTCCCTCCCTCCCTCCCTCCCTCCCTCCCTCCCTCCCTCCCTCCGTCCCTCCCTCGCTCCCTCCCTTCCTCCCCCCTCCCACACGCCACCCAACCAGGTGGGGGAAGCAGCACTGGACATCCTCCTCTCCCTCGTCGCCTGCTCCTCCTCCTCCTCCTCCTCCTCCTCCTCCTCCTCCTCCTCCTCCTCCTCCTCCTCCTCCTCCTCTTCCTCCTCCTCCTCCTGCCACCTCCCCTCATTACAATCACACACCGCATCCGCCAACGGCCCTTCGGAAGTGCTAGTGGGAAGCGGGGGAGCCAACTCCCTCAATGGTGCTGGTGGTGGCGGTGGTGGGGGTGGGGGGAGCATGGGGCAGGAGAGGGGAGGAGGCGATGTGCTGGTACCCATGCCGAGGGTCAAGAGAGATCTATGTGACCCCAGATGCCTGCCGCACCTCGCACAGGTATGCGACTTAGATTGATAAAAGTTGCTCTTTTCCTCCCTCTCCCTTTGCACTCTGCATATCTTCCCAGCTTACTGTCCCCATAGCACCTTCCCTCCACTACATCAGTGCCGTCACACCTTCTCCACACCCTTCCTTCCTCTCCCCGCCCTCCCCCTTCCACTGCAGTCCCACCTTCCACATTCTTGTATCCTCTCCCCTCCCCGCCCTCCCCTTTCTCCTAGTTTCATCCCCCCTCCCCCCCGGTCCTCCCCTGACAGTGGGCATCCGACCCAATTCGCTTTGTCGCTGCACTCACAACAACTTCCATCACCCTATCTCCCGTGTGAAATACTGCCAGGCCATTCTCACCAATGAGCCTGCTATAGTGGAGAAAGCTGCGCTGTTATTGGAGGAGATCGTGCGCTACAATCCAATGGTTGCCACCCGCCTGTACACCACAGGCGTGTACTTCTTCGCATTTGCCTACGCTGGCTCCAACTTTGGGACGCTAGCATCACTCTGCCACGCCACACACACACGGTGGGTGACTGTCTTGACCTCTATGGGTGTTTTTAGTCGACTCAAAGAGCGCCTGTACACCACAGGCGTGTACTTCTTCGCATTTGCCTACGCTGGCTCCAACTTTGGGACGCTAGCATCACTCTGCCACGCCACACACACACGGTGGGTGGCTGTCTTGACCTCTATGGGTGTTTTTAGTCGACTCAAAGAGCGCCTGTACACCACAGGCGTGTACTTCTTCGCATTTGCCTACGCTGGCTCCAACTTTGGGACGCTAGCATCACTCTGCCACGCCACACACACACGGTGGGTGACTGTCTTGACCTCTATGGGTGTTTTTAGTCGACTCAAAGAGCGCCTGTACACCACAGGCGTGTACTTCTTCGCATTTGCCTACGCTGGCTCCAACTTTGGGACGCTAGCATCACTCTGCCACGCCACACACACACGGTGGGTGACTGTCTTGACCTCTATGGGTGTTTTTAGTCGACTCAAAGAGCGCCTGTACACCACAGGCGTGTACTTCTTCGCATTTGCCTACGCTGGCTCCAACTTTGGGACGCTAGCATCACTCTGCCACGCCACACACACACGGTGGGTGACTGTCTTGACCTCTATGGGTGTTTTTAGTCGACTCAAAGAGCGCCTGTACACCACAGGCGTGTACTTCTTCGCATTTGCCTACGCTGGCTCCAACTTTGGGACGCTAGCATCACTCTGCGACGCCACACACACACGGTGGGTGACTGTCTTGACCTCTATGGGTGTTTTTAGTCGACTCAAAGAGCGCCTGTACACCACAGGCGTGTACTTCTTCGCATTTGCCTACGCTGGCTCCAACTTTGGGACGCTAGCATCACTCTGCCACGCCACACACACACGGTGGGTGACTGTCTTGACCTCTATGGGTGTTTTTAGTCGACTCAAAGAGCGCCTGTACACCACAGGCGTGTACTTCTTCGCATTTGCCTACGCTGGCTCCAACTTTGGGACGCTAGCATCACTCTGCCACGCCACACACACACGGTGGGTGACTGTCTTGACCTCTATGGGTGTTTTTAGTCGACTCAAAGAGCGCCTGTACACCACAGGCGTGTACTTCTTCGCATTTGCCTACGCTGGCTCCAACTTTGGGACGCTAGCATCACTCTGCCACGCCACACACACACGGTGGGTGACTGTCTTGACCTCTATGGGTGTTTTTAGTCGACTCAAAGAGCGCCTGTACACCACAGGCGTGTACTTCTTCGCATTTGCCTACGCTGGCTCCAACTTTGGGACGCTAGCATCACTCTGCCACGCCACACACACACGGTTAGTGTCCAGATGGTTTGAGTGGGTCTTTAGGTTAGGGTTTTAAAAAATAGGTCCGTAGCGTCACTCTTCGCCCCGTCCCCTTCCCACGGCACCGTATCCCACCATTTCCTTTCCTCCTACTCCCCCATGCCTCCCCCTCCCCCCTCCCCCCCGGCCCCCTTCACGTGGCAGGCAAGCGTATGTGAGCGGCATAGAGGCAGCGGACATGGCATCACAGGCGCTGGCCAAGCGCAGCATCCTGGGAGTGCTGCTGCCAGAGAGCCTGCTCTACGTGCTCGATAGGCGCGGGGCCGCAGCTTTTGCTGCTGCTGTGGTGGCGGACTCTGATTCGCCGGAGCTGATTTGGACTCATGCCATGCGGGGCTCCGTGCTCATCCCGCAGGTAAGGAGGGCTGGGTTTTCTATATTGTTTTGGTACGGATTTTTCTCATCCCTCTTCCTTGCATTGTTGTAATCGTACCTTCTTGAACCCCTTCTCCCCTCCTTCTCTTTCATTCCATATCCTGCAACCCCCTCTCTCCCCCTACCGCCCGCACCCCTCCCGCACCCCTTCTTCACCGCAATACAGATTCTCTCTCACCTGGGCGATTTCCCCCAACGTCTGTGCCAGTTCTCGCGAGCCCTGTACGACCACACGCCCATGCCGCCCATCTCGTACCCCGAGCTCAAAGACGAGATGTGGTGCCACCGCTACTACCTCCGCAACCTCTGTGACGAGATCCGCTTCCCTGATTGGCCGATCGTGGAGCACGTGGAGTTCCTCCAGTCGCTGCTCGCCATGTGGCGCGAGGAGCTCGCGAGGAAGCCCATGGGGATCTCGGATGAGGAAGCGTGCGCCATTCTGGAGATTCCCACTGGTGAGCTGTCATCATTGCATTCGCGGCCTTGCTTCTCTCTGCTGCCCACCCTCCCTGTACATTTTCTTCAATCCCCCCTCTCTTCCCCTTGCATACCGTTCCCTTTCCCCCTCCCCTCTCTCCCAATTCTCCTCCTTCCGCCCTCTGCCCCCCCAGACAAGCAGCAACCAGCCTCCTCCACCCCAGGTACAGCCTTCCCCGCTACAAGACAAGGCGTGCAAGTGGACGAGGACGTGCTGAAGCGGCAGTACCGGCGCATGGCGGTGAGATACCACCCGGACAAGAACCCCGAGGGGCGGGACAAGTTCATAGCGGTGCAGAAGGCATACGAGCACCTGCAGTCAGCCATGCAGGGCCTGCAAGGGCCGCAGACCTGGCGTGTGCTGCTGCTGCTGCGAGCGCAGATTATTCTGTTTAGGAGGTATCCGGGGGTTTTGGAGCCGTTTAAGTATGCTGGGTTCCCGCTGCTGCTGCAGCTGTTGCGGTTGGAGGATGGGGATGGCGAGGCAGGTGCAGGGAGTGGTGCGGTTGATGCTGCTGATGGTGCTGGTGGTGCTGGTGTGGATGGGGATGGTGGGAAGGCGAGGCGGCAGCAGGAGGGCGCGTCTAGCTTCCTGTCGCCAGAGCGCTCGGAGTTATTGCAAGCCGCAACTCATCTGCTGTGGCTCATGTGAGTAGCGCCTCTGCTCCCGGCGCCTGCTCATTGCTGGTGTTCAATTCTCCTCCCCGCTGCTCCCCACTGCTGCTGCTCCACTTCCCGGTTTTTTCTGTTCCATTCATTCGTTTCCTCTCAGTTCATGACAACGAGACGATTCTCCCTTCCCCTACTCCAACCTCCCTCCTCACACCCCCTCCCTTCCTCCAGCTGTGCCTGTTCGTCCCTGAACGGCGAAGAGCTCTTGCGAGACGGGGGCCTGCCTCTCCTCACCACGCTTCTCTCCCGCTGCCTCTCCCTCCTCTCCCCCTCCTCCTCGCCCACCGACCCCCCTGCTCTCATCGCCACCCACATCCTCCGCACCCTCGCCATTCTCTCCGCTTTCCCCTCTGCCCGCACCGAGGTTCGGACCAACCAAGCCTGCGCAGCAGCCTTGGTGCCGGACCTGGTGGTGGCGACGGAGCTAGAGAGCACGCCTGGGGCTGTGGAATCAGCACTAGAGGGGATTTTCCACCTGGCGCTGTCTAAGGGGCTCAGAGAAAGGCTGCTGCGGGCTGGTGCATTGTGGTACCTTCTTCCGCTGCTGTTTAAGTTCGATGCTACTGCAGATACTGCTGGTGATACCACAAGCCGCGGCGGCGGCAGCAGCATGAGCGCGGGTGCAGCAAGTGGCAGCGGCAACGGTGCCTTGCTTCCATCTGCTTCTCAATCCCATCAGTCCCCTTCCCAGTACCTTGCCCTGCCCTCCACATCACATACAATCTCCACACCTCTCCCTTCAACCGGCATGAACAGCTCAAGAATCAACACTATCACCACTACATCCTCCTCCTCCTCCTCCGCCTCCACCACTGTCACCGGTGCCACAAGCCAATCAGCCATCGGTACAAACATCCAGTCAGAACGCAACCTACACGCGGTACTGGCAGCACGAGCCATTGCTCGGCTGACTGGGTACCTGAGGGAGAGAAGTGGCTTTGCGGAGGGGGCAAGTGAGGAGGAGGGGTGGGGGGAGGGGGATGGGGCGGATGGGTCGGAGGATGCAGCAGCACGGGCGGCTGTGAAGGTGCTGCTGCCGCCCAGGCTGGCTGCCAGGCTGGCAGAGAACTCGCCTGTGGGGCTGCTCAAGGCACTCAGTAGCAATGTGGAGAGCCCTCAGGTGAGTGTGCTGCGGGTGCTGCTGAAGGCGGAGTGCTGTGAAGCTGTGGTTGGCATGGCTGACCTGACAGTCCGCAGGCTGCTGACCTCTGGGCAGGTGGGGCAGCAAGGAGGCTGCTTGAGGTTCTATTCATGTCCCCTGCTTCAGCAAGGAGGCTGCTTGAGGCAGCGGTCTCCGCTGAGATTACAGCGAACCACTTCTGAGAGTTCTATTTGTGTCACTTTGTAGCGTGTGTCACATTGTAGTGTGTGTCACATTGTAGCGTGTGTCACATTGTAGCGTGTGTCACATTGTAGCGTGTGTCACATTGTAGCGTGTGTCACATTGTAGCGTGTGTCACATTGTAGCGTGTGTCACATTGTAGCGTGTGTCACATTGTAGCGTGTGTCACATTGTAGCGTGTGTCACATTGTAGCGTGTGTCACATTGTAGCGTGTGTCACATTGTGTGGACTCAGTTTGTACTCGTGATGATTCCTTGTTGGTTTTTACGGCAGGTGATATGGAGCAGTGGCATGAGGGCGCAGCTGCTGCGGTTTCTGGAAGACAGGAGGGCGCAGAGGGAGGCAGATGGGTCGTATGCGGTGGATACATGCCAGACGTTTGTGTACACTGCACTGGAGGACGAAATCCAGGTGAGCTTCTAACGAGGACAAGGTCCAAGTGAGTTTCTTCTTGAATAAGATAACTGGATGGGCTTTAAAGCGAGAAGAGGGTGGGAGCCCTGTGCTCATGTGTGCTGTGCTCTAACAACCGTGGCCGAGGCCCATGTGAGCGTCCGCTTCAATGCCGTTCCCTCCACTTAGCCCCATCGTTGAGTCGACTCAAAAATCGACTCCATATGAGAGTCTGTTATAATGCTTGAATGCCATTCGCTCCACTGACTGACTCCGCCCAATACCCCTCGCTGCTTGTGACCCTCCACCAGGTGGGAGACATCTACCTGCGTCTCTTCATCCAGCACCCAGACTTCCCTCTCTCCGACCCTGAATCCCTCTCCGCTGCCCTCGTGCCCTTCCTGCTCGACATGTGCGCGCTCCTCCCGCCCATGCACCACTCCCAAACGCACCACACGCCTCTGCATCCCGCTGCTGCCCTGCTGCTGCGCAAGTGGGACCGGCGGGGTGGGGAGGAAGGCGAGGGAGAGGAAGAGGAGGAGAGAGAGGACGGGAAACGGGGAGGGGAGGAGGAGGAGAGAAATGGAGGTGGGGAGGGACACGGCGGAGGGTTTAGGATTCCAGACGATTGGGAGGTTGATGGGGGGGGAGGAGGGGCAGGAGGGAGGGGTGGCGGGGAGGAGCAGGACGGGGGTGGGAGGGATAGGAAAGGGAGGTGGAGGAGGAAGAGGAGGAAGGCTAGGGATGTGCGGTGGGTGTTGGAGAATATCATCATGGCTCTCACCTCCCTCCACAACGTGCTCTCCACCTCGCCTTCTGCCGCCGCTGCCGTCGCCTCCCCTGCCTCCCTCGCCCCTCTCTTCACCTGCATCTCCCTCTCCCTCCCCACACTCCCTGCTCCACCCTCCTCTTCCTCCTCTTCCTCTCCCTCGACCACCACACCCTCCGCTCTCTCCTCTGCACACATAGAGGCCAGAATCCGCCACCTGGCTCTGGCAGTGCTGACCAGACTCACCGGCTTTGCCCCCAGTGTGGCTGCAATGGTATCAGACCGCGGGTCGCTCCTCATGCTGCTGCTGCTGCTCGTGCGATCGCCGCAATCTCGGCCATCCATTCTGGGCATGCTCCAGTCGCTGGCGGGGACGCCTGAGTTGGCGTGGGTGGTGGCGAAGCAAGGCGGAATCGTCTTCCTCCTCGCCCTCCTGCTCCCTGCCCCTGGTGAGCATTCGCGTTACTTCAAATTCCTTGCACAGAAAATTCCGCAACCCTCTCCTTCACGTACCTCTTGTTTGGAGACCCCACAAGAACAAGAGGTACCTCTGATTTGTTCACGAACCCTCTCTTCCACTATCAGGTCCTTTGTGCCTCCTTTTTCCCACTCTCCCGATCACTCTCTGCTCCACTTTTACATGCGCCAACGTCTCTCCCTTAGTATCCCTGCACAATCACTCCTCTCCCTTTGTATCCCTGCACAATCACTCCTCTCCCTTCACCCCTCCCCTGCAGGAGACGACATACCCCACCCTATCCGCGTCACCACGGCCCTCCTCCTCTCCGCGCTCCTCTCTCAGCCCCTGCACGGCCCGCGGGTCTTCCTCTCCCTCTCCCGCTTCCTCCCCCCCGGCCTCCTCTCCTTCCTGCGGGACGGCTCAGGGGAGGCCGCCATTGCTGCTCTCTCCCAGACCACGCAAACCCCTGAGCTCGTCTGGTCCCCCGCCCTTGCGCTCAATCTCGGCCGTCGGATCGCGCTGCTGGCTGCTGAGGTTGTACGGATGGTGGAGATCGCACGGAGGTCTGGTGGTGGGGGCAAGGGGGGAGGACAAGGTGTTGCTTCGGTTTTTGGAGGTCTGGCTTCATTCGAATGGGATCCACCTGATCTCGTCGGGGCTACTGGTGGGGCTGGTTCAGGTGTTGCATCAGGTGCTGGTTCAGGTGGAGCGTCAGGCGCATCAGACAACAGTCTGTTGAATTCACCTGAAGAAGGGGACGAGTGGCAGGTGGGCGGCGTGTACATTCGTCTCTTCCTCAAGGACCCCAAGTACCCGCTGCGCAACCCCAAGCGCTTCCTCGAGGGCCTTCTCGACCAATACGTGCTTGCCACGTCAGCACTGTTCGCTCCAGCTTCCCCTGCTCCTGCTCCCACAGCAGCAGCAGCAGCAGCAGCAGGAGGACAATCAGCCACAGGATCGGTAGCAGCGGTAGCAGGTAGGGGGTTGGTAGGAGCAGCAGCAGTGGCAGCAGCGGCCGAAAGAGTGGAGCTTCTAGCAACGGCACTCATCTCCCTGCTGCGCGTTCAGCCACTCCTGAGTGAACACGTGGCACTGCTGGGCTACGTGCCGAAGCTGCTACTGCTGACTGCAGCAGAAGGGCAACTGCTTACCGCCTCTGCTGCTGGCGCTGCTGCTGCAGCTCCTTCTCCTGCCACTGCAACTGCTGCAGCAGGGGGAGTAGCAGCTGGGGTTGCAGGCGCAGGGGGGGCACAGGGTGGGACCAGGGGAGGGGTAACTGCAGCAGAGGCAGACGCGGAGGCGTGGAGGCAGGCGGGGGAGAGGGCGCGCATGTGCTCGTTGAAGCTCCTCCATCAAATAGCAGCCAATGGACCATGCGCTGAGGCTCTTGCTGTCCCGGGCACCAACGCCCCTCAGGTGAGACTGGAACACCCCAGGTGAGACTGGAACACCCCAGGTGAGACTGGAACACCCCAGGTGAGACTGGAACACCCCAGGTGAGACTGGAACACCCCAGGTGAGACTGGAACACCCCAGGTGAGACTCGACCGCGCTTCAGGTAGTCCTTCAATGCCCTTCGGCCGTGCCCTTTTCTCAGTGGCCCCTGTGCTGAGAAGACGCCCTTTCTGCTCTTCCTCCTACTACCATTGTTTTGAAATGACTTCGTGTTGGCTCTGGACGCCTTGAACATTTATACAACTCAAATCAGGTCTCCTCCGCCATATTTGTGCTGCCCACACTCGATTTCCAGGTGATAACGCTGCTGATGGTGGCAATAGGGTGGGCGGGAGTGGTAGGCGGGAGGCAATGTTTTCTATTCTGGGTTTTGTCAAATTTCCTCTGCTGTCTCATCATAGCCCTGCTGATGCGGGCGAGAGGGTGGGCGGGAGCAGCGGTGCTGGCTCTGGAAACAACCATCACAAGTTGAGACGTCTCAAAATGTGAGCTATGCTGTGCTGGATTGAATTTCCTCTGCTGTCCCATCATGATCATCCCCTGCCCTCGACTCTCTCAGGTCATAGCGCTGCTGATGCGGGCAATCGGGTGGGCGGAAGCGGCAGTGCTGGCTCTGGAGACAATGAAGAGACTACTAGCGCCAACCAACAGATCTCGAGACGTCGTTGTTGCACAGGCGCTCAGGTAAGCAGAGTGGCAGGTGGTTGAGTGAAGGTAAACGAAGGGACTGGTAATTCCATGCACATCTGCTTAAGCAAGCAACAGGACGGTTTAGTCACACAGTGATTCTTTTTTTAATTCTTGTGTTTTGTTACTGTCTCGCCCAGGAATGGCCTGGTGCAGGTCCTGCTTGCGATCCTTGACTGGCGGGCAGGTGGAAAAGCTTCGCTGGCTGCCCCGATGCGGTGGAGCGAATCAGAGGCAGCGGTGGGGCGAGTGCTGGCAGTGGAAATTCTGAAGCTGCTGGGGGCAGATGGGACCTACTCCATCCGTGTTATCGAGATCCTCAATGGCTCTGAGGTGAGATTTGCAACGGCTTGAGAGCTTGTGAGATTGGCAACGGCTCTGTCAGGATGATTCACAAGCTCTCGAGCACCACCTCTTCCAGTTATTCCACTCATCAGCTTCCACACCACCCCTTTGCTTCTTCCATGCGCCACTTTCCTTACTCTGTGCTGTTTTCCCCCTTCCCCACCTCGCCGCACCAGGTGTGGCGGGCGTTCAAGGATCAGAAGCACGACCTCTTTCTCCCCACCAACGTGCAATCATCTGGTGCCGGTGTTGCCGGCCTGCTTCAGGGCGCTGGCTCTGCCTCTCTCGCCCTCCCTGCCCCTGCCACTCCTGCCGCCACCGCTTTTCCAGCTGCAGCTCCTGCTGCTGCGCCTTCTGCTGCTCCTGCTGCTGCGCCTTCTGCTGCTCCTGCTGCAACCCTTTCCGCTTCTCCTCTTCATCCTGTGGATGCTGCTAGAAGCACCCCCGCTCCTCTTCACTCACCAGTCCCCACTGGAACTCACCTCCCCAACTCCTCGCACTCCTCTCCCTCCCTCCTGCCCCTCTCTTCCATGCCCACTCCCCTTACTCCAGCCCATCCGGTACCCACTCACTCTCGTCATACACACACTCCCTTCACTCCCTCCCAACCTGCTACCACCGCACTTCATCCCTCTCCTGCCCAAATAGTACCTCTCTCCACACCTGCAGCAGCTTTCATGCCCTCTTCTCCCTTCCCAGCCACCGTCCCAACCACTGCATCTCTCCCAAACCTCTCCCAAGCCTTGGACCCGCTCTTAGGTTCGGCACCAGGGCTGATGTCAGCAACAGGAGGTGCCAACAGAACGTCTGTAGGAAAGGCAGGAGGGGCGGTCGCAGGGGCAGCACCAGGGGCACGAACCTCTGGTGCTGTGGCAGGGTCTGCTGCAGGTTTGACAGCACCTGCTGTAGTCTCAGCCTCGGATTTTGATCGCGTGGTGGAGCAGAAAATGTTAGGAGGGGGCGTTGGTGGGGCTGCTGCCGGCCAGGTGATTGGTCAGGTGGTTCAGGTGGCTGGGCAGGCTGAGCGACAGAATGCTTCTGAGGGGAAAGCAAGGTTGGAGGATGAGGGGTTTCTGGTGCTTGGGAGGCGGGAGACGAGGGGTGTGGAAAATGGGAATGAGGGTTATGGGGGTGAAGAGGAAGAGGAGGTTGCAAGGCAGCCCATAGGGCTGGATGCTGCCCCCTTGTAGATTCTCACCAGCGTGGTTTTATATTGTGCGTTCTCTGTAGCAAATGCTCTTGTATTTCAACCCGAATATATTTGCACATATGCAATCTGGGAAATGATTGCTTGCCAAAGTTGTGTGTATACCTCTACAGTTGTGTAGCTATTAAACTTTAACTTTGCCAGAGACACGCAACTCCCGCCAAAGCAGGTCTCGCCACGGTTTCTCCTCGCCCCACGTCACTCCCCTTCGAAAGCTTGTCAAATCGAAACCCTGATTTTCGGTTTCACCACGTTTTCACTTGTTTAGGGAGACCACATCAGTTTTGTGATTTTCTTAGGAATCTCCGTTGTTTGTTGCCCACCTAGCAGCTCAGGGGCAGTCCGCCTTCTCCGTTGCCGCCTACCCCTTCGCGTTCCGAGCTTTCCGCAGTCATGGCTTCCGCGCTTAGGGCGTCGCTGGCGCCCGCGGGGCTCGGCGCGGCCGCGCTCTCCGCATCTCCGATCGGCGGGAGAAAAGAGCACCTTGGCGCTTCTCTTCGCGCGTCCACCGCCGGGTCTCACGGCCGAGTGACCATGGCGTTGCGCGCCCGCCGCGACCCGCGGCTGATCGCGCCGGTAAACGACAAATTCCTCCCGTGGTTGGCGGACGTCGCGCGGTCCGACGAGGGGCGCGCGCAGATCTCCGACGCGGCGAGCGGGCGGTTCGAAGGGCCGCCGCTGCTGGACCTCGCTGCGGCGAAAATGGCGGCGACGCAAATGGCGGCGCCCGCGCAAGTGGAGCGCGGCGGAGGGTACGGCGAGCACCGGCCGCGACGGCCGCCGCCGGATCTGCCGTCGCTGCTGCTGAACAGCCGCATCGTTTACATCGGCATGCCGGTGGGTGATTGAGTGCGCAAGCTAGGGAAAGGTTACAAGGGAGATAAAGGTTCCGAGGGAGCAGCAGTTTCGAGTCGCTGCTGCTGAACAGCCGAATCGTCTACGTCGGCATGCCGGTGGGTGCGCGAATGCGCTCGAATCGTCTGCGTGAGAGAAGCGCAGCTGTTGCCAGCGGGAACCGAGATGATGATCGCAGCTGCTTCTTCTGCGCTGCCTCATGCTCCTCGCTTCCTTGTTTTAGGCGCCGCAAAAGTTCTTCACTGCCTCATGCTCCCCCCTCGCTCCCGCACCCTCCTTTGCGTCCTGCTCTCCCCAATCCCTCCACCACTCCATCCCGCCTGGTTGCAGCTTCACCCAGCAATAACAGAGCTGGTGGTAGCGCAGCTGCTGTAACCTGCAGCGGCTGATGTCTCTTGCTCACCCTTCCCGCCCGCCCTCTCCCTCCCATCCTGCTCTACGCGCAGCTGGTGCCAGCAGTAACGGAGCTGGTGCCGTCCTGCAGTGGATGGATCCACGTCAGCCCATTCATTCACCCTCTCTCTCGTTTCCCCATTCCCACCCCACCCCACCCCAATCCCCATAACCCAGTTGGTGCCAGCAGTAACGGAGTTGGTGATAGCGCAGCTGCTGTACTTGCTGTGCCTCTTGCTCCCTGCTCCCCTCACACTTATTTATCAGACACCCCACGCGCCTCCCTCTCTTCCCATCCTCCTTCCCCCAACGTGCAGTTGGTGCCGGCAGTGGCAGAGCTGGTGGTAGCGCAGCTGGTAGCGCAGCTGCTGGTCCTGCAGTGGCACGTGCTCCCTGCTTCCCTCACACTCATCAGACACCCACCCCCCGCGCCTCCCTCTCTTCACATCCTCCATCCCTCAACATGCAGCTCGTGCCAGCGATAACGGAGTTGGTGATAGCGCAGCTGCTATACCTGCATCACGGGCTCACGTGTATCTCAACCCCCCCTCTCCCCGCCCCCTTTCTTCCCAGCTCGTGCCAGCGGTGACAGAGCTGGTGATAGCGCAGCTGCTGTACCTGCAGTGGATGGACCCGCGTCAGCCCACATACGTCTACCTCAACTCCACCGGCACCTCCCGCGCTGATGGTGAAACGGTGAGCCAGGGTGGCGTGGCAGGGTGACGTGGCAAGGTGACGTGGCAAGGTGACGTGGCGAGGTGATTTGGCAGCAGACGTGGAGTGCAGTGAGTCTTGGAGCCCGCCAAGCCAGCTACGGCTGCATCGGAATCGCATCAACCCCAATTGGATCAAATGTGACCAGATGTAGCCGTTTCGCATCAACCCCACCCACAAGGCTGGGGGTGTTGAGCAGCGCATTGTAGCGAGGTATTTTACCTTGTGGCTTCATTGCGCTGCTCAACACCCCCAGCCTCTCTCTCCCCTTTGCTATCCCCCTTCCTCTCCCTCCCTTTCCTCCCCTTTCCTCTCCCCCACTTAATCCTCTCCTTTCCCGCCCGCCTCTCATTCCCATAAATGCCTCTCTTCCCCTCCTTCTTCCCCTTCCCCGCCCCTCCCCTCACTTCTTCCCTTCCCTCGCTTCCACTCCCTCGCCCCACCTCACCTCTTCCCCCATCTCCCCCCCCCTCATTGCCGTGGGTGAGAGCAGGTGGGCATGGAGACAGAGGGGTTCGCCATCTACGACACCATGATGCAGATGAAGAACGAGGTACGGTGCAGAGGAGTGAGGTACGGTGCAGAGGAGTGAGGTACGGTGCAGAGGAGTGAGGTACGGTGCAGAGGAGTGAGGTATGGTGTAGAGGAGTGAGGTATGGTGCAGAGGAGTGAGGTACGGTGCAGAGGAGTGAGGTATGGTGCAGAGGAGTGAGGTACGGTGCAGAGGAGTGAGGTACGGTGGAGAGGAGTGAGGTGCGGTGCAGAGGAACGCGGTACGGTGCAGAGGAATGGGTTGTGGTGCAAATGAATGAGGTGCGGTCCAGAGCAGATGAAGAATGAGGCGGAGAGGCAGAGCGATTAGCCCGACATGAGATGCTTTGATTCAATACGATGGTGCCTGCTTTCCAAGCCCAAGCTGCCTTCTTTCCTTGAAATCATGCAGATGCAGACAGTGGGAGTGGGGGCGACCATAGGCCAGGCGTGCATGCTGCTGGCGGCGGGGGAGACGGGGCGGCGCTTCATGCTGCCACACGCCACAGCCATGATCCAGCAGCCGCGCCTGCCCTCCACCTTCCTTTGCTCCCTCTGCCCCCCTCCCTACACCCCCTGCTGCCCCCCTTAAAACCCCCTGCTGCCTCCTGCTGCCCCCTACTGCCCCTTCCTGCGCTCCTCCCCCCCCCGTTCCCACTCCTCCAGATGCAAACAGTGGGCGTGGGTGCGGCGATAGGCCAGGCGTGCATGCTGCTAGCGGCGGGGGAGAAGGGGCGGCGCTTCATGCTGCCACACGCCACCGCCATGATTCAGCAGCCGCGCCTGCCCTCCACGGGACAGATGTCAGCCATTGATGTGCACATCCGCGCCAAGGAGGTCCGTTGATTCGCATCTGAGCCAAGGAGGTCCGTTGATTTGCATCTGAGCCAAGGATGTCCGTTGACTTGCGTCTGAGCCAAGGAGGTCCGTTGATGTGCACATCCGCGCCAAGGAGGTCCGTTGATTCGCATCTGAGCCAAGGAGGTCCGTTGATTTGCATCTGAGCCAAGGAGGTCCGTTGATTCAGGAGTCTCTTGAAATGGTCAACGATTTGTTTTTGTGTTATTGGTGTTGTTGTTATTCATGTTATCGCGGTACCGTTTGTGTTTTTTAGTGCATTCATGTATCTGTGTTCATTTCTCTTCTCTCTCCCCTCCCCTCCCCTCCCCTCCCCTCCCCTACCGCAGGTGGTGAACAACAGGGACACTCTTGTCACGCTACTTGCGCGCCACACAGGCAATGTACGTTCGAGTCTGTGCGTCTTGATTCTGTTATCGTTCAGACTGCTCTGAACTTTGCGAGCCTTGCTTGTTCAAGTTGTTGTCCATTCACCTCACTCCACCGCATGCTACGCCTCTCAACCTCTCTACACCTTCCTTCACAGGTTAGTCATTGAGAAAATGGCGTGACAATGAAGTCTACATGCACCCCATCTCACAGCACCCCATCTCACATCCCCATGGTTCTCTTTCTCATTAATCTCTATTACACCTTTGTTCTTTTTCCTTTCTTTCCACCAGTCATTTGAGAAGATAGCCAAGACCATGGAGCGCCCATACTACATGAACCCACAGAGGGCCCTCGAGTTCGGAGTGATTGACAAGGTGAGTGAGGGGGGTGCTTTTGCACGTTGACTCACAAGTGCACTTGGAACTTGCATTGGTCAAACCCACTTTTCTCTCTCTCTGCTGCATGTGTGCACGATCAGATCCTGTGGCGAGGCCAGGAGGCCATGGCGAAAACATTGTCAGCGGAGGAGTGGGACAAGGGGGCCGGCATTCGCATGATGGAAAAGCCTGCTGCGCCCACTGCCTGACACGTCCACACTTGCACACATGCTTGCTGCTCCGCTTTACTAGTTTTTTTGCTACTGCATGGTTCAATAGAGTACGTGCTGAGTAGGTGTTACGGTATGTGCTGGCTTGTTGCCTATGTCAAATCTGTTGTATCTTTTCTAATAACACACACGACAGTGGAGTAAACGGCTTTGGCTAAGAGCTGTTAATAACGGACCTTTCTCAGGCACTGTAAGAAACATTTTCACGAGCTATGTACAGTACAGTGCTTCCTCTGAAAGTGCAACCAGTAGACTCTACAAACCGTAAGAGTTAGTGAGCGCGCGCAAATGAACCCTTACACCGCATGTGATGTGACCAACTGCTTCCTGACGTTGTTCTCCCTTCCCCACCCCCTTTTTTCCAACTTTCCCACCCCTCTACCCACTCTCCCTCCCCTCTCATATCTCCCCTCGCTTTCATCAGTTCGAACTCCTCTGCCCGTATTCTTTCTCTTCTGCATCCAATCCAACCCCCCTGCTTCGACTTCCTCCTCCCCTCTCCTCGTCACCACCAGCTGCTGCAGCCGCTTACTCAGCTCTAGCTCCTCTCTCCAAACCTCTTCTCCTCTCATTCATTCCTTCCCGCCACCTCGTCCTCCTCGCCCCTCTTCCCCACCACCAGCTGCTGCAGCCGCTTACTCAGCTCCACCTCCTCGGCCAGCCGTACGCGCAGTCGTGACAGCCGGGGCAGCTCTTGCTGCACGGGAGGGGAGAAGGCGATTTGGATACAAGGTAGCGAAGTGTGAGGCACGAAAAGGGTGTGTGCTTTATCCACAACATCACCTCCTCGGCCAGTCGTACCCGCAGTCGTGACAGCCGGGCAGCTCTTGCTGCATGCGAGGGAAAGGGCGATATGGAGAGATGGTAGTGAGGTGGGAGGCACGAGAGGGTGTGTGTTTTGAGTGAATTCAATCCACAGCTCCAGCTCCTCGGCCAGTCGTACCTGCAGTTGTGACACCCGGGGAAGCTCTTGCTAAATGGGAGGGGAGAAGGCGATTTGTAGGCATGAAGAGTGGGGGAGGGAGAGAGGGGACATAAGGAGGGGCAGTTGAGTGCATTGGTAGGAGAGCATTGGGGGCTCATGAAAAACACTTACTGCAGCTGGGCAGCACTAAACCCAAGCCCTCCACTCACCCCCGGACCTCCCCACAGTAAGTAATTCATGAGTAGACTCAGAGTAACTCACCCCAAGCACTTTACCCACTCGCCCACCTTTCACTCACCCCCAAGGCGGCAGGTGAGGCAGTGAGGCCCTGAGCTTGCTCCATGAGAGACGATCCCGAGGCGACAAGGCGGCTGGTGCTGTGCTAGGGTAACACTTGACATGCCAATGACAAATCACCTCATGGCATCTCAGGGCATCTCACCCACCCCAACCGTCACTCACCCCCCAAGCAGCAGGCGAGGCAGTGAGGCCCTGAGCTTGCTCCATGAGCGACTGTCCCGAGGCGATGAGGCGGCTGGTGCGGGCGGCGTGGATGGCGGTCATGAGGGCGGCAAAGTCGTCCTGATGCTCCACCTCCACTGGCAGCCACTCGTCCGTCCCTGATTGGTCCAGAGAGCTCATCAGCCAATCCTGAGGGCAGCAAAATGGTAAAGAATGCGCTAGCATTCAGGTAAAAGTCTCTGGCGTTTCATGCGCTAGCATGCGAAAAGAGGAGAATGGAGTAAAACAGCACAAGAATTCTGTGTAAGTAGAAAGGTCAGTCTGTAAAGGTATGTTGCCCATGTTGCCCATGTTGCCACACGCACCCAGTTGTCATGGAGAAGTAGCAGCATGTCAGCGGCGGAGTTGATATTCTCTGTCAGAGGCTCCAACGAGCTCAGCACCAGCGCGTTCCCCAGTGCCGCGTGCTCCTGCACCAGGTTACCGGTTACCAGGAAGTGGAAACATCAGAAGATCGGGTTACCAGGGAGCTGGGTTACCAGGAAAAAGCAGTGCAGACAGCGTTAGGGAGGTGTCCGAGACGAGACGAGACGAGACGAGAGACATCCCAGAGACGTAATGCTGCTTCAAGCAGCCTGGAGCTCTAGCAGTGAAATAGGCCCCGAGGAAATCCCATGGATCAGGAAGGTGAATCAAGACCGGAGGCTCAGGAAGAATCAAGGTGATCCTTACTGGTCGCTGCCTGTCACTCACCTTCCTGAGCTGCAGTTCCAGCTCCATGCTGGTAACCAGCCGCTCTTCGTCAACAGCAGCCATGACTGTGTTCCACTTGGCGTGAATCTCCTCATCCATGCTCTTCGCAGAGCAGCTCGCATCGTTCGGATTTATCACGTTACAAATCGAGGCCTGCATGGCTGCTGAATCTACACTACGCGATTCCTGCCCAGTGCCTCCGTGAACCTCGATGTCTCTCCCATAGTTCGGATTCCTCACGTTGCGATTCGCGGCCTGTAAGACTGCCATATTTTCACCGCGCAATGCCCGCCCAGTACCTCCGCGAACAACGATGTCTCCAGAACTAGCAGCCGCATCGGCCCCGCTGGGAGGAGGTCTATTGCGGTTTCGGTTCATGGTAACGGCTCGTCTGGGGAAATGAAAGCCTATCAGAATGATATAGTACGTATGCGACTCCGATTGCGTAGGAATGAGAAAAAACTGGAGCGCAGACAAGTTTAGCACAAGTGCATGAGCTCCACTTGAAGGAGTTCAGGGTCATCACCTCCAGTATTATACCTCTACAAGTCACACCCTTTACCGTCATTTGCTTTGTCCCATGGAATTTGGGAGCATGCCGTATGTACTCAAGCTTTTGTGCGATGCGTTATTTTGGATCTCTTGAAAAAACGTCCTAGAACCTATCGAGCTCGCGTGGTGACTGGTGGAGTTCACGAAAACAAATCTCGAGGTGAATCCGTCGCGCGTTTTACGAAATAATTTTATTCACGGTACCATCAGACGCGATAACGAGACTACCTTTAAGATACAATGAATAACATGCATAATACCACAGCTGTCATGCACCACACCGACGGACACACCAACCAGCGGCTCTCGGTTCGCCGCGTGTCCAAGCACCTCCTGGAGTCAAACATGTGGCTCGCAGCGCGCGCAGGCGCTTTTTCCGCGTACAGCGCCCCGTGGGGGAAGGGCTCGGGGGAAAGATGCGGCTGAGTTGGCATTTCACGTGGAGGTGTGCTCCGAGGGGGGACAGGGGAGATAATTTGTTCCCCGAGGGGGCGAATTTGTTTCTTGGGGGGAAGGGGGCTTGGGTGGCGCGGCAAGAAACAGGAAGCTGAATTGAGGTTGGATCGAAGCAAAACAAGTCATAACTGGAATTTCAGAAATCGATCCATTTTCTTGGTGCCTGCTGCCTGTTTTCTATTGCCTGCCAGTTACCACCACTGTCTCGGGCGTTTTCCTGAACTAGTTGCGCGTTGAGTTATTCATTTCTCAAGCATTCTCCGTCATCTGTGATTGTCGCCGTCGTCGCAAAGCGTCGTTACGAGTCGCAATGACGTGGTCCGACTATGCGATGCTCGCAGCGTCCATCGGCCTCCCCATCGGGCAGGGCTTCCTCTCCGCGACGCTCTTCGGCGGCGGCGATTCGCGTGAGTCGCGGCTGCTTCAATCCCCTCGCAAATTTGAAACGGTTTTATTATCCCCACGCGTAGCTGATCATGCCAGGTTGTCATGTCACGGATTTGAAGTACGCTGCGCCCTTCGTCCTCCCCTAGATTGCGCATTTTGCTCTATGGCAATCACTTTTGAGAATTATTAGAAAGCTTCCGAGGAGTCATCCCAATGCCCTCATCATTCGTCTTATTATTCTCTTTCACTGATCGCTTATGCGTGTCGTCAAAACTTCTCGCAAACATGCTTGCTATCTCAGTCGCAACCGTAACTGTTGCCACGTACACCACTCCGTTCCGTGTCCACGTTACAGCATGATACGCAGCCTCGACAAACCCTTTCAATTTCGTCCAATGCTTATCAAATCTACACCACCCTTGTCGCTGTACCCATTGCAGCATGGTACAGGAGCCTGGACAAGCCCTCGTGGACCCCACCGGTGAGTGCGTGGGCTGAAAAAATGGAGCAGTGGGGGGCAGCAGAGGGTGGTTTGGGGCATGACACAGTAGATGCGAGTAGCTATGACATGATCCAGCATGGAAACAATTGAGCAAGAAAACGTTGTTTCACTGGCGCTCAGTCAGTTCCTCCGTTAAGATGCGTCTCCCTTGCAACTCCGTCCCTGTGTCTGTCGGTCTCTGTCTTCTCTGCCTCGGTCCCTGGTCCGTCTCTGCTACTGTCCTTGCCTTTATCTCTGTTGCTCTCTGTGTATCTGTCTGTCCCATGTACAGGGGTGGGTGTTCCCAGTGGTGTGGATCAACCTCTACATCATGATGGGCGTCTTGTAGCGTAGCGGGTGATTTTCTAGCCGACAAAAAAAAAAAAAAATGTCTCTCCCTCTGCCTCTCTCCCTCTGCCTCTCTCCCTCTGCCCCTATTGCTTGAAACATGAGCAGGGGTGGGTGTTCCCAGTGGTGTGGATCAACCTCTACATCATGATGGGCGTTGCTGCTTGGCTCGTGTGGCTGCAAGGAGGTGCGCAATACCCACAAAAGGCTCTTATGCCTTCATTTCCTCCCCTCACACACCCTGCCTCCCCTGTCCCTCTCTCTGTTCCACGTACGCTCTGCTGCCTTTGTGTCACACACGTTGACTGCCCTGGTTCCACTATTGCGCATTGGTCGCTCCAGTTTGCTTCACACGAAATGCGTCAGTCTCTCAGTGACTCTTCGCCTCACACACTTGTGTGCGAACCTTCATGCTGCCTCTGTGCTATGAGCATGCAGGATTCTCTCTGCAAGCTTTTCCGCTGGGCATATACCTGTTTCAGGTAACCTCAACAATGTCCCTCCCTACTCAGTTTCCATCTCTTACTCTTCCCTCCCTCCCACCACCCACCCGCTCCCCTACCCCCCGCTCACTCTCTTCTTTGCGATCTCATGACTATTCTCCGTGCCTTGTTCCAGCATTCGCGTTCTTCACACAATACACAGCAGCATGGATACATACAGACCAAGGCGTTTGCACAATTCAAAGGCCTTCCATCCGTACTTAGAATTGCCGCTCTTGATCATGAGTACTTCTGAACAATCTGCCACTCATGATCTGCCACTCATGATCTGCCACTCCGCTGACGTCTGCCCGTGTCGATCATTCCCCATCCCTGTGTGTCCCTGCACACCAGTTGCTGCTCAACTTCCTCTGGACGCCACTCTTCTTTGGCATGCACAAGATTGTGAGTGGTGCAGCTCGGTTGGTGGCTATGGGAGGCTAGCGGGGTGGTAGTGGGGTGGTAGTGGGGCGGTAGTGGGGTGGTAGTGGGGCGGTAGTGGGGTGGTAGTGGAGCGGTAGTGGGGTGGTAGTGGGGTGGTAGTGGGGTGGTAGTTGGGGCGGTAGTGGGGCGGCTAGTGGGGTGGGACGATGAGAGGCATTTGGGCAGCGGGAAATCTCTGAAAACTCTCCAAAATCGTCTACAACTGGAAGGATAGTCGACTGGAGCAGCATAAATGAGTGGCCAGCTCTTGGAGGCTAGTCCATGCATGTACCCCTGCCCTCCCGCACAGTGCGTGCCTCAGGATCTCTGCGGACTGCTGTCCTTCCAACTGTCCTCATCCTCCCCTGCCCTCCTACACCTCATCCATGGAGGGCTGGGCTCTAGCGGAGATATCGTTTTTCTATGCGCCTTTCCTGACTTTGAGGTGCCTCAACAGTCGTTTCTATGCGCCTTTCCTGCGCCCCAAATTCCCTCCCCCACCGCATCCGTGCAGGACTGGGCGCTAGCGGAGATAGTGCTGCTGTGAACGCCTCAGGCCTTTCCCACGTGCCTCTAACCAACCCCACACTTCCCCTCCCCCACCGCATGTGTGCAGGACTGGGCTTTGGCGGAGATAGTGCTGCTGTGGCTGTCAGTGTTCAGCACCATCGTTGTCTTCTGGCCTGTCAGCAAGCTCGCCTCCTTCCTCCTCTGGCCCTACATCGTCTGGTAAGTAACCACCCGCACTGCACCCTCTCCGCTTCCCACGTTCTCCCTCCGTTTGATCTGCTTTTGAGTCAACTCAAATGTCACCTCAGCAAGCTCGCCTCCTTCCTCCTCTGGCCCGACATCGTCTGGTAAGTAACCACCCGCGACCTAGCGCGTCCCACCTTCTCCCGTCTCAACATCACCAATCCTGCTGACGTGCCTCAGAGGTCGCTCATCGGTCACTGTTTACTCTCTTTGCATTGCTGCAATTTTAGCTACTTGGTCGCTCACCACTCACACCCTTCACCACTCACACCCTTCACCACTCACTCCTTAACCACACACCACCCCTCTTAACCCCTCCACAGGGCGTCCATAGCCACGAGCCTCAACTGGTACATCTTCCTGCACAACGCTCCCACCCCTGGTGCCGACGGCCTTGCCCAGCCCCTCCGCTCCTCCGACTGAGCATAGGGAGTATAGAGAGGGCATGTCATGTGCCGGGCTGTGCTTGTGAGGCGTCTTATAGATCCTGCCTGACATACCTGTGCAGACCCTCCTCTCCTCCGACTGAGCATAGGGAGTATAGAGGGGACGTGTGATGTGCCACACTGTGCTTGTGCTGTGCTGTATAGATCCTGACATACCGTACCTGTGCAGTGCAGCCCCTCTGCTCCGCGGGCCGAGGATAGAGGATAGAGGATAGAGGGAGTGTGACATTGTTCTTGCTCACATTCAAGACGACTCACACCACACGACGTTTTCGGTCGGCTCAAAGGGCTCGAGCATTTCCTCTGGTTCGTGGGTTGGGTATCGTTGAGCAAGGGTGTCTGGCACATGCTACTTTATCAGGGTATTTTGTGCATGATCGGTGTACACATAGGGTCCTATGCTAAGGAAATCAGTTTCGTGTCGCGCCGCTCTGTAACGCTCGTCATTGCATTTGATCGCACTGAAACGCATTGAACCACATGACTCAAGTCTGACAAGAGGTGTGTCTGATAAGCGGCCGTAGGAAACACGCTCTTGTTGCTTATGAGTTCAAAAATCTGCCAGATAATTTGAAGTGGAGTAGGGAAGCTACCGTATGATTGTCATGACACCATGTTTTCCACATGTGTAGACAACACATCCATATGGTTTTATCGAATTGGCTGCTGAATGCACCGTTGAGGCAGCTTAGGGTACATTCCTGTGGGGACACTTGTGTCTCAATCACTTTGTGACACCCAAAAACAACATAAACTGTGTTGTGTCCCAAATGCGAATCGGCTTTCGGCGACTTGTACTGTATTTATTATTGGTCAGCGTGAAACGCGCTGACATCGCTGTCGAATTGTGAAACGACCCGTCATTGTTAAAGAATCGCACGCGACTCGAAATGCCCGACACGACCACATGCACCTGGACATCTGAAAATGCCAATTTTGCGAGGGAAAAGATCCCGCGCATCGAAACCACGCCCCTGCTCGGAGGTTGAAAATACGGGTGTACTGTCACCCAGTCAAATGCACACACCTGTACATCTCTTTTTGATCCCCGCCAGTGAAACGTGTCCAACTGAACCTGCCAATATGTCGCCCTACATCGCGGTACATTCGATGTTTGTGACACAACATTGGGAAAATTAACAGGCGCGACTCGGGAAAACGGGGATTGAGACACAAGTGTCCCCACAGGAATGTACCCTTACTGTATACTAATCAGCTTGTCAAATTACTCGTCCAATGAATACATTCCCAATGAACAAATAAATTCCTCGAAAGAAAAGCAGCCTGCGTCCTTGCCAGATGAATACTCTGGTCCTTATTTCACGCTGGGTAACAAAAAGGCCCAAATACCAAGTCACCCAGGTGCAGAGGAGCACAGCTCAAGAAATCCCTCCATCTTCAATCCCCCCACCGAAAAATCTGAAGATAACAGGAATAGCAGCAGCCCAGCCGCTTGACTAGTGTGCATAAGTGTTGCACCCCTTGGCTCCTAGAGGGCGTAGAACTTGCGGAGGCCGTTGGGGCGGACCATGGCGGTGTTGGTGGAGAAGAAGAGGGTGTTGGCGACCTTCTGGTTCACCGCCTGCGTGGGGTTGTGATCGTCCCACCACACGGCTTTGCCCGGCGCTGCACACGCACCTCCCGTGACTGCTGTCTTGCCGTTACCAATGGTCTGAGCACACGCCACCACCACCCCCGTGCTTGTAACGGCCCCGCAGCACGGGTGCGTCTGATTCGTCAGCCCTGGAAGGGGGTAAGGGGAGGGATGGGGACAGGGGTGAGAGTGTGGCGTGACGAGGAGTTGAGGAGTGGTGTGATGGTGCGAAGGGAAAAAATGATGAAGGAAAAATTGTAAGACGGAGCTTTAGTGGTTGAAATTGGAAGACGAGGGAGGAGGGGAGGGAGAGAGCTAGATAGAAGTGAGGAGAGAGGGAGAGGGGAGAGGCAAGGGGGGAAATGAGGGGTCTCACCAGAGGCCCATCTCAAATTTCATGAATCGTTTTACATATCGTAGATATACTTGCAACATATCCTGAAGTATACAAATAGTATGGGTCATTAGGGATACCATAAAGTAGCATGCGTCGTAGGTATTTAGTATGTTTGGATTAGTATGTAAACGGTAGAGCACCAATGCATACCAAAACGATACCAACTTCACTAACAAAAACATACTCTTTGGTATGCATTTGTTTCACCATCTGTTTACAATTCCATACTGGCAAGTATATAATCTGCAAAATTATGTTATGCAAACATAGCAAATCACATATATTTGGAACGAAAAATTCCCATACTAGCAACTAGTGCAACCACACAAATCAGTAACAAATTTGTTTAAATGTTAGGATCATTGTGTGTGTTAAAAATATTTATATTAGAGTTGCATGTACACAATACATGAAGATATTGCATCAGAGGCTCTACTAACTTTGCTGAATACACGACGCATATATCGGCACTGAACTTCCTGAAAATACAAACGACACACAGTTCAGGTGGAAATCACATGGAACGGCAGAGACCACCACGTACCTTTAAAAATGATAGTCGCTGCAAAAAACGGCAATACAAATAAGGTCTGAAAGTGAAACAACTGTCATCGCCGTTGCATAAGGTAGCACATAAAAACAACAGAAAGATGTAGGCAGTGTGGATGAGTAGCTGGCACGGAAATTTCATTGAGGGAGCTTCCCTTGAAGGCCTGCAGCAAAAACGGTCAAATGTTACAAAAGAACAAAAGCGTACAAGCAACTGCAGAGCAATAGCACAGATCGGATCTCACTGAGAGCGACCGTGCGCCAAATTGACAAGAAACCAGACTGCGTCACGCCCTCAGTCGCGAATCCTACTAGCAGCACCAGCAGCAGCAGCAGCAGAAGAAGAAGAACGTGCGCCTTACGCCACCACACACTCCGCCGCTAGCAGCAGGTAGCGCAGTTCACTTCACGCCCACTGCCGTGATTCTCGCCAGGAGTAAACCCTAGCTATAAGAACAGGCTGACAAAAATCTAACGCAGACACGAAAGGCATGGCAGTAACGGTTAAAGGTGATGCACGCTAAGTTAGGCAAGTGAACGAGGGCGACCGGAGATCTGAAGGGAAATGGCGTACTAACGCACGTAGAGCACCAATCCGCTTCTGCTGAGACGTGAATGGAAACACACGCAATAAGACTCAGAGAGGTGGGAGAGCTGGAGCAGTTGCGATGGGGAGAAGGGGGAGGCTGGGGGGATTGGGGAGGGGAGAGAATTTGTGACGCTGGAGATTGTGCGTTTGGCGAGCGCTGCTGCAATTGCGCCAGAGGCAGTTACAGCAGCAGCGCAGTTGCGCCAGCGACATTTACAACTGCTGCGCGGTTGCACTGGCTTTGGCAGCACAATGTTGCACTGCGCTGGCACTTGAGCGGCTGCGCTGGGTTGGCATATTCAGCGGTTGCGCTGGAAGCATTTGCAGCGCGATTGCTCAGCAGCGTTGCGCTGGCAGTCCAATTCAAGCAAACTCATCGCACAAAAATTTTCGTAACCAATCAAAATCTATCCGTATCGCCAGACATTGTTGCTGTAAATCGAATGAACCAATGATTACCCAAAATGACGTGGATGTTGAAAAATGTCGGCAGAAGTGTTTGTCCGTGTCGCGTCATTAAAACTTCACAACACACACAAAAACAGGATAGCTACAAATCCGATTACTGTGCTAAATATTTGACAAACATACAAGTGAAATGACTGGTATTTAAAAATCCCTGTCTATGATAGCAACAAAGGGCCATAAATGAAATCCTTTTATTCAATAGCATACACATGCGGGATATTTTATAGAATTAATCACTAAAACGCATACATTCAATTGCGTTTAAGATCTGGTAAAATATACTAACAGCCATACTGGTCACATAATTTGATGCATCAGCTTTATGGGACTTCATTTTTCTCTTTTGAACAAAGAAATGGTGGTAAAAAAGACATCCAGACGTTGGCGAGTTGACATGTTACGCACAGGCCTATTCTGTCAGAGGTCCACTGGTGATCCCCGATTGATCCTAGGGAAGGGCTACAGGCATGTTGGCCTGGGGGGTTATGGGCGCACTGACCCGCTACTTAACAAGCCCTTTTATCCCAATGGTCTAGTGGTTGGGATTCTGACATGGTATCAGAGCGAAGGTCTCGGGTTCGAATCCCGGTGTATGCACTTCGGGCATCCCAGTGCGGGGGGGTGTTAGAGGTCCACTGGTGATCCCCGATTGATCCTAGGGAAGGGCTACAGGCATGTTGGCCTGGGGGGTTATGGGCGCACTGACCAGCTATTTAACAAGCCCTTTTATCCCAATGGTCTAGTGGTTGGGATTCTGACATATTGTTGCATAGTTCGAGACCAGCAAACGCACGAACAAGCGCCAGGAGCTACGTAGTTGAGCGAACGAGCTCAAACCAGTTCCTATGGCAAGGGAATAGGATGCACTTCCCTAATGTGTAAATAAATAGTGTTGAAAAAGGCATCCAGACGTTGGCGAGCTGCCATGTTGAGCGCATGCCTATCTTTGCACAAATTTACAATGAAACGCACGAACAAGCGCCACGTGCTGCGTAGTTGTGCGAACGAGTTCAAACCAGTTCCTATTGTCAAACTTATATGCTATAGTCTGTGTAGGCTGTAGTGGGGTAGATAATATGGGGTACAACACTTTTAGGTTTTCCTACTTGTACCAACATGTTTCCTAGTGCATTCATTCCTCGTTCTTTCACATGGTATAGAGCAGGTTCCCTAGTGGGAACGTTTCCTAGGGCCCACCGAAAATTGGAGTTTTTTTTTTCCTGCCCGGAGCGCGCTTCGTCCCTGCCCGAGTCGCGCCCCGTGTGCCTGCCCTCGGGGTGTGTCAAACTTATATGCTATAGTCTGTGTAGGCTGTAGTGGGGTAGATAATATGGGGTACAACACCTTTAGGTTTTCCTACTTGTACCAACCTGTTTCGTAGTGCATTCATTCATCGTTCTTTCACACCTATGGCTAGGGAATAGAATGTAATAGGGAATTGTGCGAAGAAATAGAGGTAAACAAATTTTCTAGACGTTGAAACGGTGACATGTTGCATACAGGCCTATCCTTGCACAGATTCACCATGGAACGCACAAACATGCGCCACGTGCTGCGTAATTGTGCGAACTAGCTCAAACTAGTTCCTATGGCTAGGGAATAGGATGTACTAGGGAGCTGTGCGAAGAAATAGAGGTAGAAATAACTTCCAGATGCTGAAACGGTGACATGTTGCGTACAGGCCTATCCTTACACAGATTCACCATGGAACGCACAAACATGCGCCACGTGCTGCGTAATTGTGCGAACTAGCTTAAACCAGTTCATATGGCTAGGGAATAGGATGTAATAGGGAACGGTGTGAATAAATAGTGGTAAAAATGGCATCCAGGCGTTGGCGAGCTGACATGTTGCACACAGGCCTATCCTTGCACAGATTCACTATGGAACGCACAAACATGCGCCACGTGCTGCGTGGTTGTGCGAAAGAGCTCATACAAGTTCCTATGGTTAGGGAATAGGATGTAATAGGGAACTGTGCGAAGAAATAGAAATAAACAAAACATCCAGACGTTGAAACGGTGACATGTTGTGCACAGGCCGATCCTTGCACAAATTCACAATGGAACGCGCAAACATGCGCCACATGCTACGTAGTTGTGCGAACTAGCTCAAACAGAGATAAACGGGGATCGAGGCGGGTAGTCTTAAATGAATAGAAGAGGCTTCGACAATCTGCTGCAATTCCTCGTCACACACGATAATAAATTGTCGGGAAAAACGGTGCACCAGATATCACCGAATAAACGATAAAAAACCATCAGCCTCCAACTCGAAAAATGACCATTACTCGGCAGTTTCACATTTTTCTGATGATTGGCACAATCTGAGAACATTTGCAAGCAAGTCAGAGGAAAAATATGAATTTAGCATATACAAAATCGTTTTACAGTGGCGTTTTACATACTAAACCAATATTGGTAACTATAGAGTACACATTTACTTACCATACGGGGATTCATTTCGCCTACTGTTTGCGGAACGAAAAACCGCATACTGAAAACCCTTTCCCGATTTTTGAGATGCCGGGACTTGGATCATGGACTTGAAGACTTGAGACTGTCGGAAGAGCAGCAGCTTGGGCATGGGCAGGGCCGGGTTGTTCCTCAGCTTGTCCGTCTTCGTGAGCAGCGCATAATTGTGGATAATGGTAACCTGGTTACCAGCGTCCGTGCAGTTGATTCCGGTTTTAGCCGCACGGCGCACGACAGGAGCGCAGCCGAGATTTGGCAGGTCAACAATAAGAATGTTGGAGGAGCCGGTGAGGTTGTAGAGAGACTGGGTGATGTTTATAACGATGTTGGAAACGGACGAGGCGAGGGCGACGAGGGTCGTCATGTTGGGCTGTGCACGGCTGAGCTCCGGAATGTAGTCGTTGGCGCCAATGCTCATCACAAACAGAGCCTCGTCAAGCTTCTGTGGAGCAAGAAAATGAAATGGGAGGGGTTCAGAAGGAATGAAGACTAGGAAAGAAACGGAAACGGAGAGTAGAAGGGAAAACGGGAAGGAGATTGGAAAGGAAAATGGAAAAGGAAACAGACGGGAAGCTGGAAAAGAGAACGACAGCGAGGACGTACGAGGTCGGGGTTGTTGGTGCGCTTGGCCTCGTTGAACCACTTCTTGAACTCGTTGAACTGCTGCTGGAGCCCGCGCGTCTGCCGTGAGGAGACAGCGAAGCCAAACACAAGAGAGTCCAGCGTCATGACGCGAGAAGAGTATAAGAAGAATGTGATTCACGATGCCGCGGGTTTACAATTGTAAGGTTACGAATCACTGTGGAGATGCGATGCGGAAGACCGGTTGATAATGATGTAGTTACCTTTCCGCCGTTGGTGCCGGATTTCGCGCCAGCAGCAGCCATGGCGAAGTCGAGGCCACTGAAAGGAAGCGACGCATTGCGGGGCGCGAGATCGGCGCGCGGCGAGGGAATCGCGAGGAAGTCGGCTGTTGGAAGGCAAGAGAGAGGGGGAGAGGAGAAAAAACCAGGTTGAAAATGCTTAAAAAGCACGAATATACTCGACTCGCGGTTTACGGAGAAAATGGTCGAACACGGCCTTTGTAGTTACGAGTCGGAACTACTATCGAGAGAAACGGAATTTCTGCGCGGATTATCACCGAGGTAGTCGACGACGAGCTTGCCGTCGGGGAAAGATTGAACATGACAGTTTTGCACAAAGAAACAAAAGACTGGCGCTACTGCCTCCGAGAGTGTCGTACCGAGGTAGTCGACGACGAGCTTGCCGTCGGAGAAGCGGCCCGACGCGGGCTTGAAGTTGACGCCGTACGGCAGCTTGTTGGCCTTCACGGCCGCCTGCTTGAAGTAATTCGCGTTTCCCACGTCCGCCGACTCGTCGCCGAAGACGTACATCTGCGAGATCTTCGCGGCCGTTGTGGCGTGAGCGGCGCACGCCATGAGCGCGGCGAGTAGAAGCAGAGAGAGTCTTGCAGCCATGCTGATGCTATCAGCGCGAAGACAAGTGGGATAGGTTGTACCGCAGGTGAAGAGAAACGGATTCGGAGTGCCAGTCGCACGTGGAGCAGAAGCAGTGCGTGTGATAAGATGGTACTAGAGGCGTGGAGATGCTTGGAGCGGAGAGAGCAAGTGATGAGAGAGTGGACACACACGGTGGTATTTGAACTTGGATAACTCGGTTTCTCGCGTCGCGCAGGTGGGGTCCCATGGAAGAACCCGATCGGGTCCTTATCTCCCAATATGGCTTCTGGCGGCTTGCGCTGTTCATGGAAATGTGGAATTCGAGAATTGCTGTGTTCGAATGTCCGTGTGGGAAATCGTGGTGGTGTGCTAGAGGAAGAGCTGTGGCGGGAAGGAAAATCAGATTCTGTGCAAAACGAATCGGGATACCATGAAGAGCGAAATCCTCGTGTTTGTTCGTGAAACTCCTGCCAGCCCTATGCTTTGTCGCCACAATTGATGAACAGGCTCGCGAAGCGGCTCTGGCAGACACAACACTTTCGCCACATGGACAAGTGTGGGGTGGGAGCCACTGCGACTCGGCAAGAAATGAGATGCGAGCAATGCGCGGTTCGAAAGGGGCTTGTCCTCCCATACATCTCCCTCCTCTACAATGCCTCCCGTACATCTCCCTCTGTGCTCTGACCTGTCCCACTTGCCAACCATACATCTCCATCACCTGCTCCTTGTGGCGGCTCTAGGTGCAATGCGGTTGCAAGGGGCTTGTAGGGCACAAAGACTGGTGCCTGGGGATACAATAGGTATGAAGCAATGCGACGTGACCTGCACCACTAACGCCTGTAACGACCATCGAAAAGTGGGTTCGCCTGTATTTTGATGCCTCATCGAAATTGGGTAGAAAATAGTGATATGTGTCAGAATTCCAACCACTAGACAATTGGGATAAAATGGTTTGTTAAGTAGCGGGTCAGTGCGCCCATAACCCCCCAGGACAACGAGCCTGTAACCCTTCCCTAGGATCAATCGGGGATCACAAGTGCACCTCTGACACCCCCCCGCACTGGGATGCCCGAAGTGCACACACTGAGATTCGAACCCGAGACCTTCGCTCTGATACCATGTCAAAATCCCAACCACTAGACCATTGGGATAAAAGGGCTTGTTAAGTAGCGGGGTCAGTGCACCCATAACCCCCCATGACAACGAGCCTGTAACCCTTCCTTAGGATCAATCGAGGATCACTAGTGTGTCAGAATGTTATAGTGCTTACATTTGTGTAGGCTATAGTGGGGTAGCCCATAAGGGGTACAACCCAATTAGGGTTAGTACTTGTACCCAACTCTTTCATAGTTCATTCATTCTCGTTCGATACTTTGACATGGTTTCAGAGCAGGTCCTTCGTTAGGACCGATTTTCTTGGGCCCACCACAGCGCTCCCCCACTAGCCGCCATGCCGCCCCTAACGACCCTCGTGCCGCACCTGCTGCCCAGTGCGCCGCCCTCGTGCAGCCTGCCAATCGACCCTAGGCCCGTCGCCCCTAGCCCCGGCCCGTCGCCCGTCACCCCTAGGCCCCGGCCCGTCGCCCGTCGCCCCTAGGCCCCGGCCCGTCGCCCGTCGCCCCTAGGCCCCGGCCCGTCGCCCGTCGCCACCTAGGCCCCAGCCCGTTGCCCCTAGTCCCGGCCCATCGCCCGTCGCCCCTAGGCCCCGGCCCGATGCCCGTCGCTCCTAGGCCCGTCGCCCCTAGGCCCCGGCCCGTCGCCCGTCACCCCATAGGCCCCGGCCCATCGCCCCTAGCCCCGGCCCATCGCCCGTCGCCCCTAGGCTCCGGCCCAACGCCCGTCGCTCCTAGGCCCGTCGCCCCTAGCCCCGGCCCGTCGCCCCTAGCCCAGGCCCGTCGCCCGTCACCCCTAGTCCCCGGCCCCGGCCCGTCGCCCGTCGCCCCCTAGGCCCCGGCCAGTCGCCCCTAGCCCCGGCCCATCGCCCGTCGCCCCTAGGCCCCGGCCCGACGCCCGTCGCTCCTAGGCCCGTCGCCCCTAGCCCCGGCCCGTCGCACGTCACCCCAAGGCCCCGGCCCGTCGCCCGTCGCTCCGCGCCCGTCGCCCCTAGGCCCCGGCCCGCCCGTCGACCCCAGGCCTCGCGCGCCGCCCATTCCGGCCTGCCCCTCGCCCCTGCAGCCCCGCGCGCCGCCCCTGGTGGCCCTCTAGCCGCCCCTGCTGCTCTGCTAGCTGCCCCTTGCGGCCCTCTCGCCGCCCCTAGGCCCTCGAGCCGCCCCTCTTGCAGCCTGCGCACCGCCCCTTGCTGCTGCCTGCCCTGTTTCCTGCGCTGCCCGGCCTCTGCCCGCCCTGCGTGCTGCGCCGCTATGGCTTCCCTCCGCGTGCTCGCATTCGATCATGAGGGCCGTCCTATACAATTTGACACGTGGCTCGATGACCTGCAGCTGTACCTACCGAGTGACTCTCGGGACAGCGTTTCTTTTTTTGACCACACGTCTGGCGCCGCTCCTGCCCCTCCCGAGACAGCTGTCAGTGCGACTCGCTCACAGTGGCTTACTCGTGACGCTGCTGCTCGCTTAGCCATTCGCAACCACCTGCCGTTAGCTCAATGCGCTCACTTCGGACAGCACAAGACAGCACAGGCACTGTACGACGCTGTAGTCACCCGTTACTCCTCGCCTGCCACTGCTGCTCTAGGCCGTCTTCTACTGCCCTACCTGTTTCCCGAGCTGTCCGCCTTTGCCGCGGTAGAGGACCTGGTTTCCCACCTTCACACTAGCGACGCTCGCTACCGTGCTGCCGCCCCAGCTGAGTTCCTTGACAAGAACCAGCCCCCGATGTTCATCACTCTCTACTTTATAGTCACCCGCCTCCCTGACTCTCTTCGCGCTGTCAGGGACCACTTTCTCTCCCTTGACCCCACAGTCCTCATTGTTGACCTCCTTGAGCAGCACCTCCTTGCAGGTGAGACTAGTGTAGTCGCTGTAGGTGCTGTTTGTGGCACTCCACGCACGCCCTTCTTTAAGGGGTGCTCCCCCTCCCCCCTTGCTCCCTCCTACGCCTCTGCTGCTGCAGTTGACGTCCTTGGTGCTGAGGGCGTCGAGGCTGCTTCTGCTAGTGCGAAGTGCTGCAGCAGCAAGGACAAGGGTGGCAGGGGTGGTGGCGGTGGCAGCGGGGGTGGTGGTGGGGGCAGCAGTGGAGGTGGTGGAGGAAGTGGAGGTGGTAGCGGTAGTGGGAGTGGTGGCGGGAGTGGGGGCTTTGGTGGAGTCGGTGGTGGCAGCGGTGGGGGTGGCAGTAGTGGAGGCAGTGGGAGTGGTGGCGGTCGGGCTGGAGCTACTCAGTGTGGAGGTTTGGGAGGTGGCCAGAGGCAGCAGCAGCAGCGTCGGAGCGAGACCCCGTCGCCCCAGCAGCTTTGTGAGTGGGTTTCTCAGCGTGGGGCGTCTGGGGGTAGTGGTAGCTGCCCGTATGTCATTCGCACGGCTGACCGTGCTGGTCAGACATGCAGGAAGCCTCACACTCAGCACCGCTGCTTCTCCCGCCTCGACGACGCTTGGTGCGCAGAGTTTGGTGACGAGGCCGAGCGCCCCCGCTGGGCAGAGCTGCTTAGGTCTGGAGTTGCTATCTTTGACCTAGACTATGATGTTATCCTTGCTGCTATGTATGCTTTGTCCGTTAGTGCTGAAGGTGACTATTACCTGTGTGTGCCACCTGACCCAGGTATAGAGGCTGCTGCTCTAGGTGCTAGTGAGTCTATTATCCCTGGTACTGCGCCTGCTGAGGCCTTGCACACCTTCACACTTGACTCAGGTGCCTCACGCTGTTTCTTTCGCGACAGCACCACCCTCACTCCTCTCTCTGCACCTGTGTCGGTCAGGCTGGCTGACCCCTCCGGGGGCCCAGTCCTTGCCCGTTCCTCCACTGTTCTCCCGTTTCCGGCGGTTCCGTCCGGCTGACTGTCAGGACTTCACCTCCCCTCATTCTCTACAAACTTGGTGAGTACCGCTGCCCTCCAGGATGCGATGGTCACTACCACCACTCCTGGGGGTCAGCGTGTGTCAATCTGCACGTGTACACAGACGGGCCGCCACCTGGCCACGTTCACTCGTCCGCCTGGGACGAGTCTGTACACACTGGCTACTGAGCCTCCTCAGGTAGCTGCGCCTGCCCAGGTGTCCGCGTCAGGTCCGGTAGCAGCCCCTTGCTCGTGTCGCCTCCTGTCGCACCAGACTCTTCTGTGGCACCACCGCCTGGGTCACCCCTCCCTGCCACGCCTTCGTGGCATGTACTCCCGTCTTCTTGTCTCTGGTCTACCCAGGTCTCTGCCTCCCCTCCCGCCCTCGCCTGCCCCGCCCTGCCTTCCGTACGTCGAGGGGCGGCAACGCGCCGCTCCTCATTCCTCCTCGTTTCCCCCGACGACTGCTCCCCTGCAGACTCTCCACATGGATGTGTGGGGCCCAGCCCGCGACACTGGACAGGGCCGCGAGCGCTACTTTCTGCTGGTCTTTGACGACTACACGCGGTACACCACGGTCTTCCCCTTGCGCAGCAAGGGTCAGGTCGTTGATGTCTTGATCCCATGGATCCGCACAGTCCGTCTCCAGCTTCGCAAGCGGTTCCGCCAGGACCTTCTTGTCCTACGTCTGCACTCTGACAGAGGTGGTGAGTTCTCCTCAGACCTCCTGCGGGACTTCTGTCATGAGGAGGGCATCCTCCGGTCGTTCACGCTTCCGGCCTCACCGCAGAAAAATGGGATTGCTGAGCGTCGCATTGGCATAGTCATGGAGGTCGCTCATACCTCCATGATCCATGCGCCTGCCCCCCATTTTCTGTGGCTGTTTGCGGTCCGGTACGCTGCGCATCAGCTCAACCTTTGGCCCCGTGTCTCCTTGCCGGAGACCTCGCCTACACTGCGTTGGACAGGGAAGGTTGGCGATGCGTCGGTGTTCCGGGTCTGGGGTTCTCGTGCCTTTGTCCGCGATACATCCGCAGACAAGCTCTCTGCCCGCTCTATCCTTTGCGTCTTC